AGAGAGTGAGGGCTTCGCCGTGACCACAGCTCCGTCTGCCTTCACAGTGCAGCTCCCCACCTCACTGATCATCTCCACAGTGGGGTCACGTGGTCAGTGGGAACAAGTTTTGGGTTTCCTCTGTTCTATCTTAGTTCTTATGTCTTGGCAAAATACTGAAGTTCCACAAACAAGCCAGAGTGTCCACATGCTCTGTCTGAGTACGGCAGCACCTTTGTACTTTGTCAAGTCTTCAGTTGCTACCATCATGGAACTTGTATCGTTCGAACCGACGAAATGACTAAAAGAATTGTTTAAACGAGCCAGCAGTCTAGACCTGTGTAGGTGAATGAAGAAACACTTGAAAGTCAGAAGGAGAAAAAAAAGTTACTTGGGACCAGAGCAATCGTACAGCAGGTAGGACGTTTGCCTTGCACACAGCTGACCTGGGTTTGATCCCTGGTATCCCATATGGTCCCCCAGGCACCACCAGGAGTAATCGCGGAGAGGAGAGCCAGGAACAACCCCTGAGCATGGTGGTTTGGCCCATAAACATAAGCAAAAGGAAAAAAAACAAAACTGAACATTTAGGATTAGCAAACACTGTTGGATTTCCATAACATACTTCATTCCTGATTTCATCTGTAAGAGATATGATTACGACCCTTTCAAAAACAATGGTCAATTCCCCAAAATTTAGAAATTTAGCTCCCATTTGACCCAGCAATACCATTCCCGGGAATATATCCCAGAGAGGGAAACAAGCATAGCCGCAGTGACATCTGCACTTGTTTGTTCATTGCAGCACTCTTTACAATAGACAGAATCTGGAAAAAACCTGAGTGCCCGAGAACAGATGACTGGTTAAAGAAACTTGGTACATCTACACAATGGAGTACTATGCAGCTGTTAGAAAAGATGAAGTCATGAAATTTACATACAAGTGGTACTACATGGAAAGTATCATGCTAAGTGAAATGAGTCAGAAAGAGAGGGACAGACATAGAAGGACTGCATTCATCGGGGGAACATAAAGTAACAAACAAAATAGGAGACTAACACCCAGGAATAGCTGAGGTAAGTACCAGGAGGTTTACTCCATGGCTTGGAGGCCAGCCACACATGCTAGGGGAAAAGTTAGCTCAGATAGAGAAGGGAGCACCAAATAAAGGATTTTGGGAGGATCCTCCCAGGATGGAGGATGCATGCTGAAAGTGGACTATAGACCGAACATGATTGCCACTCAATGCCTCTTTTGCAAACCACAGCACCCAAAAGGAGAGAGAGAACAAAGGGGAATGCCCTGTCACAGAGGCAGGGTGGGATGGGGGACATAGGGGGTGGGAGGGATACTGGGATCCGTGGTGGTGGAAAATGGGCACTGGTGGAGGGATGGGTACTCGTTGTATACCTGAAACCCAAGCACAGAAATCTGTAAGTCTACAACTGTACCTCATGGTGTTTCACTAATAAAAGTTTTTTTAAAAAATGGCATCTTATAAATATTCTGGCAATTTATGGAAAATTTATTAATTTAGTTGCAAATTATTATGGCATTTGGGCTGGAGCGATAGCACAGCGGGTAGGGCGTTCGCCTTACGAGCGGCCAACATGGCTGACCCGAGTTCGATTCCTCCGCCCCTCTCGGAGAGCCCGGCAAGCTGCCGAGAGTATTGGATATGCCAGACACAGTAACAACAAAGTCTCCAATGGAGACGTTACTGGGCCCGCTCGAGCAAATCGACGATCAACGGGAGGGCCTTTACCTTTACCTTTACCTTATTGTAGGTGACCTGTTACTCATTCAACTGATAATGTGTTCCCCTCTCAGTGTTTATTAATATTATAGATGCTTCATTCAAGAAACTCACTACCTGCAACCCGCGAAGAAGCAAGGCTTTGTGGGTCCTGAATTTTATATAGTTTACTAAAACCCTGCTTAAAAAAATAAATGAAATGTAAAATTATGAATATAAAAATTGCTGGGATCTTCCCCGAGATCTTGCAAGTAAGGTTTGGAGTTCAGCTTCCTCATCAATTCACCTCAGCTGGGCCTGTTTTCTTTTGTGCTTAGGTTGATTACATCTGACGGGTCCTCAGCCCACTGAGCTCTCTCTCTGGCTCTCATCTCGAGCTCTTCCCAGGTATATTTAATGCAGGGAGTAAATCATGATCAACCCAGCTTCTAATCAACCCAGTCATTTGTCAGACAGGCAATAAAGTGACGTAACTGAAGGACTAGCATCCCTGGCCTTTGGAAAGAGATGTAACAACAGCTTTTTTTCCCCTTGTTGTTTTTGGGCTACACATGGCAGGGTGCTCAGGCCTTACTACTGGCTAAGCTCAGGGAGACCCTGTGGGGTGCTGAGGCTTAAACCTAGGTCATCCATGTGCAACGCAAGCCGCGCGTCCACGGTAATTGTGCTCCAGTCACAGAGTTTTGATCACACAGGAAAATTGTACCTGAAAGGAATGAGCTTGGTCATTTAGAAAAATTAGGGCTGGAGCGATAGCCCAGCGGTAGGGCGTTCGCCTTACAAGCGGCCAACATGGCCGACCCGAGTTCGATTCCTCCGCCCCTCTCGGAGAGCCTGGCAAGCTACCGAGAGTATTCGATATGCCAGACACAGTAACAACAAAGTCTCCAATGGAGACGTTACTGGGCCCGCTCGAGCAAATCGACGATCAACGGGAGGGCCTTTACATTTACCTTTACCTTTAGGACCCAAAGAAAGGAGCCCACCCCCCAAAACATTCGGGCCCCAACACATTCGGTGCTGGGGTGGGTAGTGCCATCACTGGTGTTTGGGGGTCACTTGGTGCAGTGCTGGTGAACCATGTCGTGCAGGGGCTTGACCCTCGGGCTCCAGCACTAAAGCGTGCACTATCTCCCCAGACTCCGTGACAATCTGTTGAGCTGACCGAATTGGTCGTAGGAGCTAGTTCTATTTAAATCACATGACAGGGATGATCATTTCTTTCCAGGTATCTCTGATTCTTTCATTACCTTTTTCTCTCATTTCAGAGTAAAATTTCAGTATCTCCGTATTTCTGTCCTCCCGTTGTTCATGGATTTGCTTGAGCGGGCCCAGTAACGTCTCCATTTTGAGACTTGTTGTTACTGAATTGAATATTGAATACGTCACGGGTAGCTCGACAGGCTTTGCTGTGCGGGCGAGATACTCTCGGTAGCTTGCCGGGCTTTCCGAGAGGGGCAGAGGAATCGAACCTGGCTCGGCTGGGCCGGCTGCGCACAAGGCAAACGCCCTACCGCTGTGCTGCAATGCAAATCAATCATCACCTTCTCCATTTTCAATTTGTTGGGTTTTCTTCTCATTTTGGGGGGCCACATTCTGAGGTGTGAATGGGGGTCACTCCCGGAAGTGCAAAGCGTGGGCTCCAGCTCTTTGAGCTGTCTCCTCAACCTCATTCATCATGAGTCTTTCTTAGTATACCACCCACCGTTATCTCCAGTGTCATCCCGCTATCTTGTTACCCTGCCGTCTGGACTAGCAGTGGGGCTCTCATGCTTTCCCACCAGCATCTGTCTTCTTTCCTTCAGTGTTTAAGGTTCTTGGTGACAAACACCCTGCTTTCTTCTTCTGTATAGACAGGCCTGACGCTCAGAAGAAATGTCACTCTGTGAATGCTCTTGAATGTCTTAACTTTTATGAACTATGATGCGTTTCCCCGCCCCCAACCCCCACCGTCTCCTATAAAACTATACCGAAACTGAGATTCTTATGATGCCTGGTATAATAAAATGCTTAGTAAAAATGCGGCATTAAAACAATGAGGTAACTATTATCTCTAAGCCTGCTCCTTACTAAACTGGTCTTCCGGGGAGTCAACTCAGGTCTACACCCATGAAGAATCACCGAGCTGCCTTCCTGCCCTACCTTCATCGAATCTGCAGGAAACTGTGTAAAACTGGATTTCTGAAACACAAGCAGGTGAAGACTCGTTTTCAAAGGAGGATCTTCTGCTTGAGTACAGAATTTCCTTTATGTCTCTGAACTTTGATCTGCTTGTGTCACATCAAATCAGAGAGAAATCAGAGAGAACTTTTCACTCAAAGGGTATAAAACCACAGACTTCTTACAGACGAGTAATCAGAAAAGTAAGTATAATGAAATTAGACAACAGCAACGTATTTTTGATGAATACTTTTCACTCAGTCTGACGTAACACAAACGCTTCTGGGGTCAGAGAGATAGTTTGAGATAGAGCACATGTCTGCCATGTATAAGGCCCAGAGTTTGATTCCACCGCACCACAGAACTCCAGGTGCCATACATGGCCTCCTTCTAGGTCAGCTGGCCAGTGTGAAGCCAGCTTTGCCAGGAGTGATCCTGGTCCCTCCCCAGCACTGCCAGGTATGAAGCCTATTGAACGTCTTTACCATAGCTTTTTCTACCTTTTGCCCTAGCTCAAAGGTTTATACTGAGCACAGTGAAATCAATTTGTATATATATCATTTTTTTCTTCAAAATAATGTTCGAGATTCTTAGGAGGGAAATATGCTAAGACAGACGTTCAGGAACTCTTCTGCTTCACCATGTGAAAGAAGCTACCAGCTATGAACGAATCCATAACTTTCCTTCCCTGCCAACTCCCAGTAAAAACTGCTATATCTAGTTCTTCCCAGCTCTTTGTTGCATACATTTAAGTGGTTAGGAACTTTGCACATGAACAGGAACCAAAGCTGGAATTAAACTGGGAATTTAAAGCCTCATTCACAGGTCAGCGCTGCACCAGTGGGAATCACAAGACAATGCTAACGGATGCCTTTCTGTTAGTGCTCATGCCAATAATCAGTAACAGGAAAAAGCAAAGCATGCCATGCGCCATGCAAATCTCTTGGCCTCTTCGTTCCTTAGTTTCCTCATTTGAAAAAAGGGACTGATCTCAAGACACACTTGTCAGAGTTCACACTGGCCTTATGACACTTAGCTAATAATAACTGTACGATGAGGTTATGCAGTTTTATTATATATATATTTATCTGCTTTTTCACTTACATTTTGTGTAAAAACTGCATTTCATGCCAGGACTGAAACGTTCCAAAGCTCAGTTCGGTGATTAAATTGCAACTAAGATTCCTACCAAAGAAAAAAAAGAAAAAAAAAAGATAAAAGCAGTGGCAGCAGCAGAAGAAAGAAGAAGGAAGAAGGAAGAAAGAAGAAGGAAGAAGAAGGACGAATTTTTTTGTTTTTTGGTTTTTGGGTCACACCCAGCATAACTTCTAATTCACATAAACACATTTCATGTGCTAAACATCACTGTGGACGACCTAAGCTTAAGGTTTATTCTTTGATGTTTATGATGCTGTGGGGGCATTAGACGCAAAATAGCAAATTTTGTATTAAGTATTTTAACAAATACTTAAGTAATTAAGTTCTCTAGGACAGGGATTCATGACTTCAGCACTACTACCACATGGGGGCTGGATAATTGGGGGGGGGGGGCGCTGTCCAGTACATTGTCGATATTCTGCAGTGTATCTGGAGGCCTCTGCTTACTAGATACCAACAGCATCATTACAGATCTGGCAATCAAAACAATAAAAAATCTGGAGACACTATCAAGGGTCATATGAGTACAAAATCATCCTGGTTGAGGGCCATTGTAATCGTTACTTACAGGCAAAAAAGGATTTGCTGTACAGTTCTAGTAGCCACTTTTAATGTTCTAATAATATTAAATTGAATAATAGAGGCTGACAATTAAGTGTTACAAAAATTCCAAAAATAGGGGCTGGAGTGATAGTACAGCGGGTAGGGCGTTTGCCTTGCACGTGGCCAACTCGGGTTCGATTCTCAGCATCCCATATGGTCCCCTGAGCACCACCAGGAGTAATTCCTGAGTGCATGAGCCAGGAGTAACCCCTGTGCATCACCAGGTATTACCCAAAAAACAAAACAAAAAAAAATCCAAAAATAATGAAGCATATTTTGAACTTACACAGATTGCAAATACGGTACTGCTTCAAATGTCCGCCTTTCAATAAACTGTATTTTATTGCAGGATAAATCTCTAGGGAAAGAAAAGGGAAAATATTGCTTCAATTAACTAACAAATATCTAATTTTAGGAATAACTAGTAGAAGTCAAAATAAATATTGAATGAGTAGATCTGAATGTTCCAGAATCCCTAACCTGGCTTTCCTTTTTCTCAACCACACATCTTCATGAATAAAATGTACGACTACTTGGTTCTAATATTGGAGTTAAACTTTTCTCGGAGCAGAGAATTGATGAGGTGATTTTATGTTCTAGATGGGGTTTAGTTTCTTATCTTCATGTAAAATTACTATATTTAATATAGTTATTTCAATATTCAAATGAACAGTCTCGTGTTTATATACCTTCCTGTGTAGCTGTTTTCTAGGCTAACAGAAACTAGCCTAGAAAAAATTAGCCTTTTTCATATAATATGAAAATCCCTTTAGACAGAACTTTGAACTAATTTAGAATTAAACTTTTCTATGATCATAGAAATTCAATTTTTGGTTCTACATTTTCTGAATATTCCATGAATTTCACTGCTTTAATTGTACAGTGGTGGAACAAAGAAAATCAGAGTACTGAACTTTGATTTGACTACAAGTGACTGTTCTGTATCTTTGAATTCTACTTAAGTTCTTTCACACATGACCAAGATGGGTATACCTATCTGCTAGCTCATCCCTCTTCTTCTCTTGCCTCCCTCCCTTCTTGGTCTCCTTCCTTCCTTGGCAGTTCTCAGGGCTTACTCCTGACTGCACACAGATCACTCTGTGGGTGCTCAAGGGATCTTGCATGGTGCTACGGATCAAACCTGGGTCACCCATGTGCAGAAGCAAGGCCCAGTCTTTCCTTTTCCAACATACAATGCTCACCGTCATGTATTAACCTTCCTAATAGTTCTCAAGTACCAGCCTCACTACTCCAAATCAACTGAAGCAGGAACTGTGGTGGGGGATTTCACAGGCCCACCCAGTGATCTGCTACAGGCCTGAGTGCCCCAGCGCAGGTGGGCACGAGGAAGCTCAGCATGCTAGCCCTGGCTTACAACACCTGGGTCTAGGTCCCTCCTCTTTCTCTTGGTCTTCTGAGAGCACTGAGGTGTTTTTCCTGTGTTTTACCTCTCTCCTGCTCTCTTTTTACGAGATTCTGTCCAAGATGTCTGTCTGACAATTGCCCAACATTTCCTACACTGGAATTTTTATCACCAGAACTCTCCTCGTGATAACCTCCTCTGCTCTTAATACTACTGCTATAGAATCCATCTGTATTAGCCTCGTATTTCCCATATAAATGTTCGTTTAAGTCATAGATCATTCGAAAATATGTTGACATAGGGTGTTAGAATGTTGTATTGCAAATCACAATGAGAAAAATATATTTTTTTTTAAATTCTGGGCTAATGGCATTCAAGTTCTTTATTTTCCTTATAATTCAGGTTTATTTTTATTTTATTTTTTAAATAATTTTTTATTAAACCAGCTTTTAAAAGTTTTGTAGAAAGGCCAGAAATTTAAAAATAATAATATTCTAGATTTTGCAGAGCATATTTTAATTTTTCTTTTTTTTTTACAGAAAAACACAAATGTAGATTTTACAAACACATAGTTTTCTTTTGCTCTTCAAGCTGTGCTCTCCCATGTATCTCACTTGCTAGTCTCTATGTTCCTTTGCTTTTTCACTTTCACGCTGGAAAAGCTGGTGCTCCCTCTCCAACATCACCCTCCTTTCTCTCCTCCCACATCTTCCTAAGCACCTTACATTCAATAAATCTATGCTGCTTCACTGTTGCACCTCTTTAAATTCTTTCCTGCAAGGGACAGGCGGTGAACCACGTTGCCTGTGATGAGGCTGGGACTGCTTTCCCGTTCCTGCTGGTGCAAGCTGGCAGGGTGAGGGGCCCTGGAAAGTTCTTTGGGGGAAGAATAAAACTAAAGAAGAAATTCTCTAGCCCCAAAGTAGCCCAAGAGCTTGTCCATCACATCATTTGAAATACAAATCCTCACATCTTTCTAAGTAAGTTTTAATAAAAGCTATCTTGCTTCACACACAAAATTAAAAAACAAAATCAATAAAACCATGGGCTGAAGCAATAGTACAGCTGGTGGGGCCTTTGCCTTGCATGCATCCCAAGAGCTCGACAATCACATCATTTGACATACAAATTCTGAGCTCTTTGAAGAGAAACTGAGATATCAGCAGGATGCAAAATTCCAAGGCCCCACCCAGAAAAGGCTGGTCCCCTCAGAGAAGAAGTTACACAAGAATCCATGAGATAACAAAGAGAATATCAACAGTGTAAGGCATTCCTGTGAAAACACCCAGATGAAGTTTTAGTATGCAAAATTCCAGGAAAAAACAACCCTTTTGGAAGGATTGAATAAAAGCACCTGGCTTGCTCTTCATGCCCTAAATATCTCACTTGTTTCTTTCTGTTTCTTTGCTTGCTTTTTTCCACTCTGGAGAGCCTGTGTTCTCTCTCGAACACAGACTTCTTACTTTCTTTCCCTCACATCTTTCTAAATAAGTTTAAATAAAAACTACCTTGCTTCATACACAAAATTAAAAAATAAATAAAACATGGGCAGGAGAGATAGTGGGGCGTTGGCCTTGCACTGCACGCAGCTGACCCGGGTTTGATCCCCAGCATCTCATATGGTCCCCCCAGCATTGCCAGGAGTAATTCCTGAGTGCAGAGCCAGGAGTATCCCCTGAGTATCGCTGAGTGTGATCCAAAAAGCAATAAATAATAAATAAATATTAAAAAATAAAAACGAACATATTTGCATAGATTTTTGTTTTTATTTAGTAGTGCTCAGGGTCTACTTCAGGGATATTACTGGGAGTCAGGGACTGGGGAGCCCAGAACTGTGTCCTGCTGCAAATCCAACCCGGGCCTCCTGTTGCAAAGCATCACACTCATCATTTGTGCAATCTCCTCAGCTGACAAAAACAATTCTTAAATTAATGGGCCAGGTAAAACTGGACCATGCATTGGATTTGATCCATAAAGGAACTCTATATGAACACGGAGGAGATGGTATATTAGCACTTAGGTTTCTATGGGTGGAGCAGATATAAGTACTTTTCATCTATTAGTAAAGTTTGAAAAACACTTTTGTGAAGCAAGATAGTTTACATCGAAAGAAACTTTCTTAGAAAGATGTGGGGGGGTGGGAAAGAGAAAGAATGTGTTCATGAGATAACACGGCTTCTCAGAGCAGAAAAAGCAGACAAAGAGACATGAGGACAAGTAAGCAAATTACATGATCCAGGGAGAACATGGGCTTGAAGAGTAAGCCTAAAGTTTTTTTTTCATATATGTCCATATATATATATGATGTAGGCAGGTAGATAGGGAAAGGCCCTTTGCAATGAAACAAAGTTTCATGGAAGAAGAATTCTAGGAATGACCCACCTTGTGGACACAGAAAACAAAGGCCTGATAAGACCAGACCCTCAGGATATAGGCCTCCCCACGGAATTCCTCTTTTTGGACCTCCCTGGTAACCTCCTTAGCAACGGACTTTCACCTGGAAAGAGGCCTCACGTGGGGACAGGCTGGAGAAACCCTATAAAGGCCACCTGGAACAAAGGAAGGGCGCACATATGCTGCCTGAGCCCATGTGCTGCTTGCGCCCACGTGGCCGAGCACATGTGGTGTCTGAGCACATGTGTGGCCCGCATCTCCCCTCTTCAGATGTGTACTTTCATGCTTTCGTGTCTAACTTTACTCTCTCTCTCGCTTTCTCTCTCTCTCTCTCCCCCTCCGCACCTAAAAATCCTACAAATAAAATCCATTAACTTCACTCACTGCTTGTCTACTCCTGAAATTCCTTTCTGCGAGACCCCGCTTCACATAAGTCATCCGTGGGGCCCACCGACATCATATATATATATATGCAAATGTAATTTAGTGTCAGAAATGACATGAGAGGTTTTTAATGCCATACTTACAAAACTACAAAATTTTATTGCTGGAAAAAAGGATGAAGATTAACTTGCACACCCCCTTGTTTTAAAAACAGAGCTAAAAATTCATAAATAAATGATTAACTTACAAGTACTTGAGGTTTGGAAGGGCTTCAAATGAATCCTTACGTAATTCTGCCAAAGAATTGTCACTGAGTATTCTGAAAAATGGAAAAATTATTTCTGGTCTAAAATGCAAAATAACTATGACTATTTATTACATAGGACTATTTTTTTTCTTAAATTTTTATTAGTGAAACACCATGAGGTACAGCTGTAGACTTACAAATTTCTGTGCTTGGGTTTCAGTTATACAATGATTGAATACCCATCCCTCCACCAGTGCCCATTCTCCACCACAACCAGTCCCAGTATCCCTCCCACCCCCCATCCTCCCATCCCACCCTACCTCTGTGGCAGGGCATCCCTTTTCTTATCTCTCTCCTTTTGAGTGCTGTGGTTTGCAAAAGAGACATTGAGTGGCAATCTTGTTCGGTCTATAGTCTACTCTCATCATGCATTTCCCATCCTGAGAAGAACCACCCGACGCCCTTTATTTGGTGCTCCCTTCTCTAGCTGAGCTGCCTTTTCCCCTAGCGTGTGCAGCTGTGCACAGGACTATTCTTACACATAATAATGGTGCTATCTAAATATCCCAATTCTTATTTAACTTAGGGATAGTGGCCTCTGTTTAAACTCTTTATTTTGTCCTCACCTAGATGCATCATGAACACGAACACAGCTATTGACTCTTCTCACCAAGTAACCTATATAAAGCATATTCTCTAGGTCACAAAATCTGTCAGATCCAAATTCTGTGTGACACCAGAAACACAGGGCTGCCACTCCCTGCTCTCTTCCCAAACATTACTCTGAGTCCCCCCTGAAGAATGAAATTAAGTCTGGAAAGGAAGCCCTAAGAAACTTAACACCATTAAGTTGTTTTGTTCTGGGAAGGAAAACGTGCACAAAGTGCACATGACATTTGGGCCCAGAGCAATAGTACAGTGGGGAGGGTTTTTGCCTTGCACGTGGCTTACCTGGGTCGGACCCGGCACCCCATAGATCCCCCACGTCTGCCAGGAGTCAGCCCATAACCAGTAGCTGTGCACCCCCCCCCCCCCCAACAAAAAAGAGCAGGCCAATAAAGCGAAGGCCCCAAGACACGTTCCTGACAAGGAACCCAGCTTCCCAGAGGCCCCAAGCGTGCCCCTACCAATCACACCCTCCTCTGACACACACCCCTGACTTGAACGAACATTATTTGGGGGGTTTCTTCGGTGCTTTGTTTTGTTGTGGGGCCACACCCAGAAGTGCTCAGTGGTTACTCCTGGCTCTTCGCTCAGGGATCATTCCTGGTGGTGCTCAAGGGACCATATGGGGTGCTCAAACTCAGGTCAGCAGTCTGCAAAGCTTAAAGCCTTTCCAGAGGCAGAGAATTTGATACTGGTCCATGGAATTGGGTTGCCTTGGAAGGCAGGACCAGAGGGCAGGAAAGCTATCCAAGATTTTCAAACAAAGACTTGAAATTCGGCTTCTCTTCCCTCCTTTACCTTATAAGGATCAAATGTAAAAGGGAGTCTCCACACGGTTTGCCCCCAGCCCAGGCCCCAGAACTGGAAAGTTTGTATAGTCTGTTGAGGACTCCCATGTTGGAAACCAATAATTGCTGCCAATTATGGTTTAGATTCCCTGCTCCAATGTCCCCTTTTGTTTAGAAAAATTTCACCTTTCAGAACTAAGGATAACCCCTGCACACCACTGTGTGGCACCAGAGCAAAATTATTTAAAAAAAATTCTACTTTTTTTAATGTTTAGAAAAGTATGCAAGCGATTTCCATTTGTAGACTTTCTCTCTAGGTCTGAGGCTCATAGCCTGGATGAAAATACAATTATTTCCAACGCACTGAAACAGCCTTTGGTTTTGGTTTTAGATCACGCCTGGCTGTGCTCATGGCTTATTCCTGGCTCTGTGCTCAGGGATCACTCCTGGCAGGGCTGGAGGGCCCTATGGGGTGCTGGGAATTGAATCCTGGAGGCCATATGCAAAGCAAAAACCCTACCCACAGTACTACCGCTCTGGCCCTAAAATGGTCATTTCTCATATTAGGAATGTCAACTGACAATGACAGATTAGCAAATTGTTCATTTGGCCTCTAATACAAACCACAGATATTTTTCACATCGCATTTGTTAGAGACATCTCAATCTTTTGGTTCTTCATCACAAATTTGAAGTTAGTTGTTAGACATACAGGTGGCTATTAGGTATGTCAATATGTGTTATTTAATAGCACTGTCACTGTCCTCCCACTGTTCATCGATTTGCTCGAGCAGGACCAGTAACATTGTGAAATTTGTTACTGTGTTTGGCATACTGAATACATCACGGGTAGCTTGCAAGGTTTTGCCGTGTGGGCGAGATACTCACCGTAGCTTGCCAGGCTCTCTGAGAGGGGCGGAGGAATCAAACTCGGTTGACCAGGTTGGCCCCATGCAAGGCAAAGGCCCTACCTGTTGTACTAACCATTTGCTCGAGCGGGCCCAGTAACGTCTCCATCATGTGAGACTTGTTGTTACTGTGTTTGGCATATCGAATACATCATGGGTAGCTTGCCAGGCTCTGCCGGGCAGGCGAGATACTCTCGGCAGCTTGCCGGGCTCTCCGAGAGGGGCGGAGGAATCAAACTCGGGTTGACCAGGTTGGCCCCATGCAAGGCAAATGCCCTACCCGTTGTACTTGGCTGGAGCGATAGCACAGCGGGTAGGGCGTTCGCCTTACACGCGGCCAACATGGCCAACCCGAGTTCGATTCCTCCGCCCCTCTCGGAGAGCCCGGCAAGCTACCGAGAGTATTCGATATGCCAGACACAGTAACAACAAAGTCTCCAATGGAGACGTTACTGGGCCCGCTCGAGCAAATCGACGATCAACGGGAGGGTACTAACCATAAAATTAAAATATGGATGGGATCCCTTTTATTGATTCATCAGGGCAGCCCCCAAATAAAGAATGCCCAGAGGTGGATGGGCATGGAGAAACAATACTTTCATGAACTGGCACAACGATTTTGAGGTCAATTAAATTTTTATAACTATATACTCTTCAGCCCAACAAATCCATCTCTAAATATCTACTTAACAGGCCTATCTGCCCATATTCACAAGGCCCTGTGCTGCGGTAATACATGTGACCAAAAAAAAAAAAAAAATCAAAGCATCTTTCAATACACTTTTTTAAATAGATGGGGTAAACCTCTATGCACCATAAAGGAAAGAAGTCTAAAGCAAAATGAAGTGAAAGTATCAAGTGGTAGCTGTTATATTTATAGAAAAAACAAATCAGAAGATTTACTTTCGCATTATGGATCATTTAAAAATTTTTAATGAAGAATGTAATCATGTACCTGTGAGTCGAGTGCATCAGCAACCTGATGGCGCCTTCAGACTTCCAGATACCCCAAAATTGCTGCTGTGCCTTTGGCCAGACCCCAAAAACTTCGGGCAAAGTTTACCAAGAAAGTAAATGGCCAAAAGTTAGGTATGTGGGAAACACCCCCACAAACCACCTCCGGCTCAGCTATATAATTGGAGGCACGGCCTCTCTGGTTCCTGAAAGAACTGCTTAATGGCCATGATCCCAGAGACTCAGAAGCAAATCTCGAAACCCAGCAGCTTTTGACAGAAATGCGTCCGGTCCTTGCAGTAGGTTACCGGTGCTGGGCCAACCCAGGTGGGAATAGGTTTCGTGCCTTGACCTGTTCCCCCCGGCGGCCCAGTGGCCACCATCCTTCAGAGACCACTGGACAGTCAGGTTTGGGCCTGCAGTGACGAGACACGCAGGGCCTCACGGGATGGGGGTGGAGCCGGTCCTGTCCTCCCCACCCCAACGAGACCCCAAGTCATCGCCCACGAACGGCCTCTCTGGCTCCTCATCAAGCTGCTTAACAGCCTTGATCCCAGAGACTCAGAAACAAATCTGGAAACACAGTGGCTTTTGGCAGAAATGCGTCCAGACTCCGCAGTAGGTTACTGTCGCCGGGCCACCCCAGGGGGGAAAGGGTGTTGTCCCTCCGCCTGCTCCCCCTTGGCGGCTTGGAGGCCATCATCCTCCAGAGGCCATTAGACAGTCAGGTCTGGGCCCGCAGTGACGAAACTTGTTGGGCCTCACAGGATGGGGGTGGAGCCGGTCCTAGTCTCCCTGTTCCAATGAGACCCCAAGTCATCGCCCAAGAACAGCCTCTCTGGCTCCTGATCAATCTGCTCAACGGCCATGATCCCAGAGACTCAGGAGCAAATCTCGAAATCCGGTGGCTTTTGGTGGAAATCCCTCCAGATTTAAAAGTGTTAAAATTTCAGAATTTCAAAATCACATGACCCTACTACAGCCACGCAACATCATATGTTATTCATAACCAGCAATAGAACACAAATTGTCTACTGTTGCCTTTTCAGCAGATCTGAGTCTTGGGGTAAAATCTCAAATAATAATGGTGGGTCTGGTGTCAAAATATTGAATGTGATCAAAGTAGAGAGAGAGTAATGTGGAAATCATCTGCCCCACAGGTAGGGGGAGGGTGTGGGATGGGGTATACTGGGGTTTTTGGTGATGGAGAATGGGCACTGGTGAAGATATGGGTGTTTCATTGTATGACCGAGACTTAGACCCCAAAGCTTTGTAACTGCTCTCATGGTGATTCAATAAATAAAATTATAAAAAATGAAAAAAAAAGTAAGGTGGAGTTCATGCACAATTCAATCAGCTAATCAGTGGCTAAATAAATAGTACTTCTACATAAATAAATAAATAAATAAATAAATAAATAAATAAATAAAGTAATCATGTTGGCTTGCTACTCAAGCCCATGTTCTCCTGTGAACACATTTCCAGTTTGCTCATCTCTGTGTGCTCTCTCTAGAACTTCTCTTGTTCTCCTCTCACATCTTTCTAAAATAAGTTCAATAAAACCATCTACATCACCAAAATATATATTTATATGTATATGTGCATGTGTGTATACAATTAACTCTACCAGTTATGGAATGGAAAACAAAAAGACTTTTAACGTAAGAGCTTGGTAAACCAAAATTTTTTAAAGAAGTAAACTATTATAACTAATAGAGGTTGTTTTGGGACATGAGTGTGAAATACCTTCTATGTGGTATTGATTTTTAAATTGTATACTAAGGAGGATTTTATGGTGCAATTATTTTTTAATATTCATATTTGGAGAGAATATACTCACAGTTTCTCAACCCAAGGGTATGTCTTCCATGTATTTCCATCAATGGAAGAAATAGAGTTTCCTTGGAAATCTCTGTGAAGAAACACAGTTCACAGACTTGAACAGGTAGGAAAAGAATGAACAGGAAAGTAAAAGAATCATAGAAACACAGAATACTCCAGCTCATCTCCATAGCTATGAGTTTCCCATTTTGCCCAACTAAAAACATGACGTGGGATGACTGGTCAAACAATGAAATATCTCACAATCTGAACTTCCTAATTCCTGGAGTAGATAAATACTGCCAGCTAATTAGCCTGTAAGCCATTTTTCCAAACTCACACCTATTGTAACTCCTACTGCAAATTAAAGGAGAAAATTATAATTTCATAATTATCATATACAGAAAAATGAACAAAATTATCAGCAAATAAATATTTTAAAACATTGCCAGGAAACACCAAAGGTTTAAGTCAATGCTCTCTGTTGAAATTTCAAGATAGTAGAAATTTCTAGATAGAGACTAGGGAAATTAGAAAATGAGGGGGGACTAGTGAGGAGAGATATATTCAACGTGCCTCAGGAAAAGAACAAATCACAAAGAATTACCTTCATTGGGGGTGGGGAGGAATGCACAGGAAAGAGAGTAGAAGGAAACCCAAGATGGTAACAGAAGTTACCATGCGGCAGTCATATAGCTGGTAGAGTGGGAAAGTGGGATTTTTGCGCCTTATCCTGTTTACTTTACTGACCTATTGTAACAAAGAGAATATGTTCATGAATTTACACGTGTATAGACGCATGAAGTTGGTGGAGGGGGGGATGGTGCTCAGGACTTGCCCCTGGCTCTGCGCTCAGGGTCAATAATTTTTAATTGAACTGCTGGCTGGCAGTGATGGAGGGGGACCCTATGAGGTGTCCGGGATTGAACCTGGGTTGGCCACATGCAAGGCAAGAGCCCTACCCACTGTCCTAGGACTCTGGCTCCCTGAGTTCAGTTTTAAACACTAACTCTGTGGATCACTTTGAATCTAGTTTTGTCAACTTCCCTCAGCAACATGTGTATATAAGCTGCAAATGTGTACATAATCCAAATATAAACCTAATCAGTTTACATACACAGTTTTCAGGGTGAAAATGTTGAAACAGAAACCTATCCCATCCACCTAGTGAACATTTCCACTCAAGACTTCTGGATGCTTTATGATGTCTAAGCCACAAGTTGAGGGATATGTTTAAGGAGGCACAGATTCATAACTGTTTCATATTACAAGCATATTACATATCTCCAAACACAAAAATCATACCAAACGTGCACAGCTTTTTATATGCCCAGCACATAAATAATTTTTGATCCAAAAAAATCAACCTCTAATTCCCAGCTAAAGTTGCTCTGTGTCAGCTCTCTGCAGCTTTCCACAACTGACAAGATTCTGTACATTTCTGTGCCTCTGTTGGTGCTTGGTGACACGCTGCCTTTCCTTTTTGTGTATTCCCTTTCTCCCCAATACCATCATGTTTAAGAGCCGATGACATATTGTTGTGGCTAGGTTGAGGGAAATGGGTGCTTTATATGGAAAGTCGATGTAAACAACTGTAATTCTGAAATGAGAGATTAATGAATACAGACAGCATTCATGTGTATGCTAGTTGCCCGATATAAGTATATAGTTTCACGGGGAGGCCACACCCGGCAATACTCAGGTGTGACTCCAGGCTCTGCACTCAGGAATCACTGATAGTGGTGCTCAGGGGACCATATGGGATGCCGGGGATCAGAACTAGGTGGAACACGTGCAAGGCAAATGCCCTACCTACTGTACTATCACTCTGGCCCAAAGTATTTACATAGATTTCATAGTATTACTTTTGTTGCAATTGGAGCTGGTTAGATCTCACAGTCAACCCTTCTCCACCACCTTGGCCTCATCTCTATAGGGATTCATGTTAAACTTGTTTCAAGGTACTAACTTCATAAGTATCAAAATCAACAAGTATCACAACAATATTAGGAGGTGATAACTTACCATTACCCCCACCTCAAGAAAAGGGAACTGAGTCACAGAGCTAAATAACTTGTCCAAGGTAACAAAGCTAACAAATGCAAACTCGGGCAATCTGGCTCCAGAATTCATGTCCATAAGCACAAGATTGTAGCACCAGCAATAAAAGATAAGGAGGACAAACTATTTTTTTTTAAAAAAAGGCTGTAGCACAAAGGAAACAAAGGTTAAGGAATTAAATGAAGGATAAGTTGATGGTGAGATAAAAACAGAGAAGGAAAGAGGGTGCGGACAATTATAACCAAAAGACTAGAGAAGCAGCAGCAACAGATAAGGAGAATGAGGATATCTTTTGACTAACACAAGATAAAAAGCGGAAATCATTTAACGTGGGCTGGGGGGGATGAGGCAGACACAGGGAGACATTGAAGAAAAGGCTTGCTATGTCAATAGGCAGAATGCAGAGAACAGAGGAAAGGGGATTCTTACAGGACGGTGAAGGTGTTGGTGTTGGGCCCTGGCACAGGCACTCTATGGAGCCTCTTCTCTGGACTGAGACCGGAGCAGGAGAGGGTCTTATCTGTGCAGGTACAGAGCTCACATATGTTAAAGGTCATGGAGACATTCTGTTCCAGTTGCTCAGGGAAATCTACGTGTGCCTTTTCTGAAGCATGTCGTACAGCAGGCTGGGCAGAAGAGTGAATCAGACAAGAATGACGTGTCGTCAATGTTTCTGGTTGTGGAGTAGCGTACAAAGGTGGAGATGTGAGTTCCCCAAGATCTGTCTGCTGATGCTGAGGCTGTTCTGAAGGCATTTCCTCACTGGGGGTTGTCGGAGCAGCATTTGCCTTTTCTGAACTACATCGTACAGAAGGCACAGTTGAAGACTGAGTCGGAGAAGAATGAGCTGTTTCTGATGTTTCTGGTTCTGGAGCTAAGCACAAAGGTACAGATGTGTATTTACCAAGATCTCTCTGCTGATGCTGACGCTGTTCTGAAGGCCTTCCCTGTCTGGGGGTGGTCAGAGTGGTACTTGTTATAACTCTCACCTCAGCTTTCTTGGAGGCCTTTGAAGACTGAGCTGAAGTCTCTTGCATGGTGGGAGATATAACTGAACTGCCTTTAGTTACAGTAACGTCCTTGTTTTTAGGTGGAAATGTGACTCCACTCAGGTTTGAACAAGGACTCCGAGACGGTGTGATAAGTGTCATATTTGACTGTTCTGTAGCACTGGTACTTGTCAGGGTTGTCGAGGGTTTAGTCTTCACCGTGTGTTCTGGAGTTACAGTCAAATATTGATTTGTAGAAGGCCGATTCTGATGAAAATGTTGAACCTTGTTCTTCTTTGTGGTTGGAGAAGGTATTGTCTTCAAAACCCCCACACTGGGTGGAGCTGAAATGTCAGCTGAGAGTGAACGAGTGTTCACATGATGGGGACCTGGTGAAACTGTCACCTTCTGATTCTCCAGAGTCTGAATTCGGAAAGCTTCAGAACTCCACGCTATAGAGTCTGGACGCTTAGAAGAGGTGCCTGGCTGAGTTGAAGAAATGACTACCTCAAGATGCTCAGGAATCTTAGGGACGACGTCCTCCTGGGTTGCAGAAGATAAAACAGTTTTAGTGGTTTCAGACTTGTTACTGTTAGGTTTCTTATGATGAGTATGATACCTCTTTGTACTCTTAGATAGCAACCTATATATTTTCGAGATTTTGAGAGTGGACAGGTGTCCAGTTCTCGAGAGAAGGTGGAGTAGATCCCCTTGAGCTTTAGTGACACAATCTTGAAGGTTCTCTATCAGCTGGGAAGATTCTTGCTCCTTAGTAGAAAAGCTTTTCCCAGGGTGCTCTGGACCTTGAGTCTGTGCCTCCTGGAAGACGGACGATTTTCCCACCTTCGTGAGGTCAGTGGTTTCATATGATGAAGATGGAGTCACCTCAGGGGACCCTAGCATTTTATCCTGGGACTCCTGCAGGACTGATGGAGAGTCCATCGTCTCAGAGAGCTGTGGACCTTCACCTTGGACCTGCTGGTGGGCTAAAGAAGATTTGGGTAAAGAGAGCTCTGAAGCTGGAGTCTGTGATTCCTTCTGGACTGAGGACTGAACCCCATTAATGACCTCTGGAGCTATGGAAATTGTCACCATCACAGGTTTTACAGTGACGTGGGGCAAGTTTGAAAGGTCAACTTCACTTGGAGGCTGAGCTGAGACCTCGTGCTGCTCTGGAGCAGGTCGAACCTCATTACTGACCTCTGGAAACATGTTAATTGTCATACCCACAAGTTTTCCCCTCACACTGGGAACATTTAAGAGCTGAGCTTCATTCTTACTTGGTGATGACACATGTTCAGGATGGTCTGATGGTCTGACCTCATTATTGAACTCTGTATATAAAGGAAATGTCACACCCATAGGTTTAGCAGTGACCTGGGGTAAATTGAAGCTTAGAGCTTCATTCTGACTTGGAGGTGGAACATTTTCTTCAGAATGCAGAAATGGTTGAGCTTCAAACTCCATAGGGGATTCAGGAGGCTGAGCTAGGGGATTCTGCTGGACTGAAGATTCAGTCACCTCAGGGATGCCTGGAGCTTGAGGCACTGTCTCCTGCCGTATGGCAGAGCCACTGTCAGGGCTCTCTAGTACCGCAAACTGGGCCTCCTCTTGGGCTAGAGATTGTTTCTTTTCCCTAAGGCGTTCTGCAGTGCGAGTGATATTTAGGGCTTCTGGCTGGGTTGATGTTTCCCCCTCACTGGGGACCCTTGGAGTTCCGGGAATCTGCAGATAGGCAGGTTTGATGGTGACAGTAGCTGTATTTGAAAGATGGACTTCCTTTGGTATCGGTGACACTCTGTTTTCCTGATCACGCGCTCCAAGTTCCAGTCCTGACTCTAAAGGCTGAGCTTCCACCTCCTGAGGCACTGAAGATCCTCTCTCCTCGGAAGCCAATGTAGGCTGAACTAGGGTTTCTGGCAGGACTGAAGCAGTATCACCCTTTTCAGGGGTACTTGACAGCAAATCTGAGTCTGGAACTACCAGAGGTTTTGATTCCTCGGGAGATCCTAGAAGTGCAGCTGGGCTCTGTTGTGTGCTTGCTGAAAGTTCAGCTTCCAGGGTCTTAAAGGGAAGCTGTTCTATCTCTTCAAAGGTTTCTGGATGCTGAGGCTGGGGTGAAAAGGATCCAGCCTTGTGACGGATCTGTGGATGTTTCTCTGAATCTCCCACCAAAGGTTGACTCCCCTCAGGATAAAAGATATCCATATCCATACTCGTCGGTGGTGGTAGACGACGAGGTCTCATAGATTTCCTGGGAGTTACAATACCTTCAGCAGGATGGTCACGGTGAACTGGATCCTTCCCCCGGTTCTCAGGGGAAAGAAGATAAGTGAGAAGTTCGGAAATAGTTCCACCTGCGAGCCTCCGATGTGCTGCCGGTTTGTCAGTGAAACCAAGGTGTGGAATAAAAAACTGGTGAGACCTAGAGGAATCTAAGTAATCCTCCTGCGTCGGTGGTGGTAGACGACGAGGTCTCATAGATTTCCTGGGAGTTACAATACCTTCAGCAGGATGGCCACGGTGAACTGGATCCTTCCCCCGGTTTTCGGGGGAAAGAATATACTTGAGAAGTTTGGAAATCTGGGGCCGAAGGGTAGGGGGTGATTCAGCGGCAGGATCAGGGGAAGGTGAAAGCCAGGGATTGGGGGGGCCTGGGGGGCTGGGGGCCAGGGGGACTGGGGGTAGGACTCTCCCCCGGAGAGGAGCGCCCTGTATATGGGTAGAGAAAAGAATTGTTAGTATTTTTATTGCCACATCCATCGCTAAGGAAGTGTCCTGAGCCTGAGGATTAAGGCAGCTGGGCGCTGCCCGTGCATGCCCTTATCAACCACGCCCTTGGCAACCACAGGCCCTTGGCAACCGCAGAACCCACCCCTCACCACCTTTATGAGCCTTTAAGCGCCTTTATTGGATCTGGGCAAAGCAGGCTCCTCAAAGCCAGCAGGACCCAGGCTTTCCTTTTTCCCCCAAGGCACCAAACACATCCAATCAGGTCCTCTACCCCACCCCCCTTGCCTCCCCTCCCACTCTTGCCACCCAACAGGACTGGGACTGCCCACTCGTTTGGGCGGAGCCCCAAGGGTGGGGGAGGAGCAGCTTGTCCCCAGACAGGGAACACTGGTGAATTCAACAGCACTAATCCAGCTGTGGTGGTCTTGGTGCTTCCTCCTCACTACTGAAATCCAAGAGACATTCGTCCTCCCCTTGGCCATCCTGCTTCCAAGAAAGGCAGTTGACCTGCAAGAGGAGCACTACTTCGGGTGGGTGGGGGTTCACAAATGTTGTCATTTCCTTTAAGCTCTTAGTCTCTCTGATTATTTATCACTCTCCTAGACAGGGGATAGCATGGAATCAGGGACCCAAAATTTTCTGAAGCAGGGCTCTGGGGCCAGAAACAGTTGATTCTGGGAGACCATTCTTGAACGGAATGAACAGCCATATGCACTCCTTTACACCAGCCTGGGGGGAAATCCCCCTTTCTTGCATGGAACTCAACATAAATTCATGGAGAAAAAGGAGCAAGCTCCTTTCTAGAGGGCTGCCCTTCTAGCACTCGGAGGGAACACTTAGGATGTTCACGTCAGAAAGTGAAAAGGCTTTCTTGCAATACTGTAACTAGCACCCATTTTACTTGCTTCACAGTCCTTCTTCTCATCCATATCAGTTTTTATTATCTCACACTTCCAGAATATAAATTCCATGAGAAGGGGCTTCTTCCCGCTCTCTAGTTGAGTAGAGAGCCCCGAATGGAGTTGGTTCCAAGAGTAGCCTCATTTAGGGATGGATGTTCGTTTTCTGAATTCTTTGGCATTAGTACGAAATGTCTTCTCACCTTTCTTAGTAAGGTGGACATTGTTGTCTCTTTGGGGGCCACACCTGGAGGTGTTTGACGCTGTACCTGACAGTGCTCAGGAGGCCATGCAGTGGCAGGTATCAAACCCAGGTCTCCCTCATCACAGTCCATGCTCCAGCCTGATGAACTATGTCTCAGGCTCCTAAGCTAAGTCTTTAAGACCCAATTGTAGGTGTTGGAAGTTTTCTTGGTGGGTTTGATTTAAACTATTTAAAAAAGTTCTTTGCAGGACTAGATCAATAGTTCAAGAGATTGAGCACATGCTTTGCACAAGAAAGATTTGAATTTGATCCCTACCATCACCTGGTCCCTCGAGCACTTCGACAAGTGATTATAACAAAGAGCCAGGCTGGGTAATTCCTGAGCGCTACCAAGTGTGAATCCCGCTACCTTACCCACAAATAAAATTTATTTTACAAAGGAAAAAAACAGATTTTCAACAAGAGGAACAGAATCACCTTTTCTCTCTTTATCTTCCCCTAACTCCCTAACTTTGGAAACAAATTTTCTGACTTTGAGCCATGTTAATTACATATATCCAACTCCAAATTTATTCCCAATGATATTAAACACATTTTGCCGCCCCCCACCATCCCCCGAATACACACATAGTGTATTCATATGTTCTCCTGGAAATTAACAAGTTAATTCCTAATGTGGAATACTGTGCAACTGTTGAACAGAAAGGTTCTTTCATAAAATATTTCATACAAGATATATATGAGATGCTAAGCTCTAGGTATGAAATCATACTTGAAAAAAATGATAACTTTTCGAATGCTGTAACATAATTGTACTTAAGGCCCCAAATCCCTAGATCCTGTTTAAGAGGAGTTCAAAAAGGTATTTCTCTGACAGAACTCAGAGGGCACTCAGAACTCTCCACATTTCAAAGAAGGCTTTAGAACCAATGGCTAGGACTTCAGGGAAAATTCAGAAATTCCCTCAAATAAAGTTTGAGAGTTTCATATTTTTCTGGGGGTGCTAGAATTGCCTACACATGCTCAAAATTTCTAAAATCTGCTCATTATTTTGAATTACAGACATCCTGTATATGTCATCCTTGAGTTTTTCTCTTCACATACTTGAATTAAATCATGTAGTCCTTCGGTTCTGGCATCAGTGAGCTCCTCAAAAGGCCGATATTCCACAGCTACTTTACCACTTTCTGAAATAAAGTTAACAAGGATCAATTCAAACTTATTGGCTAAAATGTTCTTTCTATAAAGGTAGTGCACAGTGATAGTGGGTGTGTACTTCCTTTATACGTCCAATAATTTTATTTCTAAAGCATAAAATAAGAGCATTTTCCTTGTCAATGCAGACATTAAGTTTGGTTCCTTTTGCTTCTCTGTTCTGAGGCCATTCTCAAAGGTGCTCAGGGATTATACCCACTTAGTACTTGGAGTCATTCCTGGCAATGCAGTGCTGAGCTGGAACTGAAACCTGCTTCCTGCATGCCAAGAATGTGCTCAGCCTGTTGAGCTATCTCTCCAACCCACTGCTTCTTTCATTTCTTTTTATTTGGGGTTTGCAGATCCTACCCTCTGGTACTCAGGGACTGTTCCTGGCTCTGTGCTCCCTGATGGTACTAGAGGGGACCATATGCCATGCCAGGGATATGCAAGGCTCTGGTACCATCTTCAAAACCCCCACTGGTTCTCAAAAGTTATTATAGTTGATAGAAATTTTACCAGATGACCACAGAAGTCTCTTTTGCTAGAAAATTGCCCAGACTGCAAGGCTGAAGTCAACCCAGGAGCTACTCGTGTAATAAATAAGGTCTCTGACAACTGAAAATTCCTTTCTCTAAGACTGCAGGGCTATAAAGCAAGGAAAGCAATTCTGTTTGTGGACTCTCTACAGATTATTCACTTTCCTTTGGGCACAGCCGGAAATATCCATAGCACTAGAAAATTCCATAAGAGGAGAACATTTAAAAATCTTAAATAGTATGACCACTATTTGTTTTTGTTGGGGGCCACACCCAGCAGTGTTAAGTCTTCTCCTGACCAAAGTACTTGGGGGCTGCTCCTGGACGCTAATGTTGTGCCAGGAATCCAAACCTGGCCTTCCACATGCATAGCATGTGCACTAGGCCTCTTAGCTATCTTCCTGGCCGCAGCAGAATCACTGTGAAGGTTCACAACAAATAGTTGGTTGTTACATCGAATCACAAACTCTCAATATGTCAGTGCTGAAAACCAACCACGAACTGATTCCAGTTAATTTTCCTCTTCAGTAGGAAAATAGTAGCAATAATTAGAATATTTCGTCCTTTACTAAATTCTAGGTAAGTCTCTTTAAACATTTATTTATTTTATTTTTATTATGTAATGTTTCTTTTTCTTATTTTTTTGTTTTTGTGGGTCACACCCAACAATGCTCAGGATTTTCTCCTGGCTCTGCGCTTAGGAACCACTCCTGGCGGTGCTAGGTGACCATATGGGATACTGGGAATCGAACTCAGGTCAGCTGCATGCAAGGCAAACACCCCACCCAAGGTGCTATTGCTCCAGCCCCTTTCTTTCTTTCTCTTTTTAATGAATGACTGTGAGATAGAGTTACAGACTTACAAACGTTCGTGCTTATGTTTCGGTCATACAATGATTGAGTACCCATCCCTCCACCAGTGCCCATTCTCCACCACCAGTGTTCCCAGTATCCCTCCCACGACTCCCTCATTCCACCCACCCCCCACCCCCCACCCCCCATGGCAGGCCTATTCCCTTTCAACCTCTCTCTTCCTTTGGGGGTTGTGGTTTGCAATATAGGCATTAAGTGGCCATCATGTTCCGCCTGTAGTCTACCTGCAGCACACATCTCTTATTCCGAATGGGCCCTCCAAGCATCCCTTACTTGGTGGTCCCTTCTCTATCTGAGCTGCCTTTTCCCCCAGCATGTGAGGCTGGCTTCCAAGTCGTGGAGCAATCCTCCTGGTCCCTATCTCTACTATCCTTGGGTGTTAGTCATCCCATTCTGTTACTTTATATTCCGCAAATGAGTGCAGTTCTAGGTAAGTGTTAAGTATTTACTTTTACAATATAAGGTAAGCTAAATTAAAAAAGGGACTGGAGCAATAGCACAGCAGGGAGGGTGTTTGCCTTGCACACGGCTGACCTGGGTTCGATTGCCAGCATCCCATGTGGACCCCGAGCTCCGACAAGGATAATTTCTGAGTGCAGAGGCAGGAGTAACCCCTCAGCATCCCTGGGTGTGACCCAAAACGCAAATGAAAGAAAAGACAATTGCGGCTTAGAAATACCTTCACATATCTGTCTAGAGACCCACTGTTGCATTTTCTAAAGAGGCAGAGGGCCAGAGTACTATTACAATGGGTCGAACATTTGCTCTGCATGCAGACAACACAGGTTCAGTCCCTGGCACCCCATGTGGTTCCCCGAGTCCTACTAGAAGTGGTTCCTGAGCACATCGCCAGGAGGAAGCCCTAAGCATCAGCAGGTGCGGCCCAAAAACCAAGAAAAGAAAAAAGAAAAAAAATGGAGGACAGAGCTAGTACTTAAACAGAGGAGTCTGGAGTTTACAGCCACTATACTCTTCTGCTTTACTGACAAACAATTGAGAAAGAGGAATTGGATCAAATACTCTCTCCACAGTCTAAACTATTCTACGTTTATACATTGGGAGTAATATTTGCTGTAATTATTTTTCACAGATTCCACAAAGGACAAATTTGAGACTACTCTGTAAAGCATCTAAAAAACAAAGGAATAGGAAGTACTTATATTTCCATTATTTTCAATATAATTGACTTCTCAAAATCAATTTACTTGCTCGTCAAGTAAGAAAGCTGCAGTACTTCAAAGATAACCAACAAAGTCTTACCTAAACCACAATGAGCAGTTTCTGAAATGCATCTGACACGGTCTTTTCAATAGCAAACTTCTGAGTCGTCTTCCTTTTCATAAGGAAAGATAATGGTCCTACATCCAAACAAAACAAATAGATTTACTACGCCAATCTTTCTAATTGATTTTTATGAAGTCTAAAAACAGAACTGGGCCTGGAGCTCTAGTACAGAGGCTAGGGCGTTTGCCTTATATGCGGCTGACCCGAGTTCGAGCCCCCACACCTCATATGGTCCTCCCAGCACTGCCAGAAGTAATTTCTGAATGCAGAACCAGGAATAACCCCTGAGCATCGCTGGGTATAACCCCAAAAATAAAAAAGTTAAAAAAAATAAAAATAAAAAAAAAACAAAAAGAGCACTACATCACGATCTTAATGAGTAAGGGAAGGCACCACACAAGGCTATGTCTTGAAGGCTCTGTGCTAAGTATATTCTGTCAGGGCTATTACCATACATTTTAGCTATCTGATCAATTCTGGACATTCGTAAACAGGTAAACTAGAAGGGAGAAATTAGTCAAGATCAGTGCACAAATCTCATACTGATTACGTATTTCAAATGGGCAAACCTACAGACTATTCTAGGAACTTGACATACCTCACACCACTAATATTCCAAGAGCAGCAAACCACAGTTGATGGGGTTTAAGGTAGAAGGCTACGAATCATAGAGGAAAATATATTTTTACAGGAGTGTGTATCATAGACACCCAAACACACACACACACACACACCCACACAAACACACACACACAGCTCAACCATTAACAACATGTCAATAATCTCTTATTTAAGGGCTTAATGGTCCCTAGGGCAAATAGAACAATCAATGGTCCCTGGGGGAAATAGAACAATCTTCACACACTTTCCTCTAAGGAAACTTTTGTGAAGCATTTTCAGCAGTTGATTCAGAACACACAATACAAAATAAATTGCTTCGGTTCTGCTTGGGGCAGGGGTTTGGGTTCGGGATGGAAACACACAAAATATGGTGGTAGCAAGGTGTAATGGTCGTGGGATTGGCGTTTGAATATTAAATGTAGTCAAATATTTTTATTTTTTATAAAAATAAAAAAATTACTTTATAATAATCACTGTATCATTGTCATCCTGTTGTTTGTCGATTTCCTCGAGTGGGCGCCAGTAACGTCTCTATTCCTCCCAGTCCTGAGATTTTAGCAGCTTCTTCCAATGATTGGAGCTCTTTTACGATCAGGGAAATGAGACTTGTTGTCATTACTGTTTTGGGCATATCGAATACGCCACAGGGAGTTTCCCAGGCTCTGCCTGTGTGGGCGGGATACTCTCGGCAGCTTGCCGGGCTCTCCGAGACGCAAATATTTATATATTTCTCTCTATGATTTGTTGCCTACTGTCTGAACCCCATCAAACATGGTGTGGCAATTATGGAAAATGGGTAGGAAGTGTCTTATAATGTGAAAGTGGCCTGGCCTGGAGAGTGGCGGCGGTTGGGTAGTGGAGATCGGCCGCCGGGCAGGGTCCCTTGGGATGGGAAGGACCCTCACCCGCCCCTCTCTGGGGTGCCCTGAGTGAAAACGGTCTGGCATGGAGTCCTTTACTTTGCAAAAATTATAGTGTTCAAAGCAAGCCCGAGCCATCTGGATACCGCAGCTAGGAGTAACCGAATTGGATAACTGTGGTAATTCTAGAGGTAATACATGCAGATGGGCGCTGACCCCCTTCCCAGGGGATGCGCACATTTCTCAGATCAGCGCCAATCTGGTCAGCCTCCCCTTGGTTCTGGCCACGAGGCAGGTGCAAGGGGCTTTGGTGATGGTGACTAGATAACCTCAGACAGATGGCACGCCCGCACCCCCCACAGGGAGTGACAACCCATTCGAATGTCTGCCCTATCACCTATCAATTTCAGGAGCTTGAGAAAGGTTTGCTAGTACCAAGGATGAGCTGGTCTCATTAAGATTCACCTACCAGAGTCTGTTCCAGTTCTTTCACTAACAGCCCTGCCTTTGATTTAATACCCTAAGCCTAAGTACCATAGATTCTGGGGGGAAAAACATTTTTATTAGTGTATTTCATTATCAAAATGAAGATTTTGGTGAGATAATGGACAATTACACAGGATCTATACTTGAAAAATTTCTTTGGAACAAAGAAGACTGTTAGCCCCAAATAGGAGAAACAGTATTCCCATCCCTATATCTCTAAGGTTCTTGGTAGGAAGACAGCTCTAAAATTGTGAAATGTCCCCGGGTCCTTTGGCCCCACCAAAAAAAATGATTCTGTTAGTTACTACCTAAGATTTAAACAAGTATTGTTAAAAACATCTGCCCAAGGCTTTAGCAGCTTAGCAAGTAGAGGGATGTTTCTGATGTATCTGAAAATATGATGAGCGAGAGAGAGAGAGAGAGAGAGAGAAAGAGAAAGAGAATGAATGAATGAATTCTTACCCACACCCCCATTCCAGTCCCCACAGAGACCTTCCAGTTTATCCAAAGTCTCCTCGGCTCTGCCAACTCCAGGGCTCTTGCCAAAGGACGACAAAACCACCTCTAAAGCACAGAAGATCTTCACACTTTGCGTCTGAAGTGGTGCCACAATATCTTCATTTTCCCTTTCTTCAAGTTCAGAAAGATACTGAAGCTGGTAAGATTTTAGATTGAAGGTCCTTCTGAACATCTCAATGTAGATTTTAAAATGTTTAATTAGATGCTACTCAATGCCTCTTTTGCAAACGACAGCACCTAAAAGGAGAAAGTGGACAAAGGGAAATGCCCTGCCACAGAGGCAGGGTGGGATGGAGAGGATGGGGGGGTGGGAGGGATAGGTATTCGACCATTGTATAACTGAAACCCAAGCACAAAAATTTGTAAATCTACAAATGTACCTCATGGTGTTTCACTAAAAAAAATCTAAAAAACAAAAACATATTTCTGGAAAAAAAAAGTTTAATTAGAAATAAAAACGAAACTCCAGCAACCCTTGCCAACCGTTGAAGTAACCTGTCACTTCAACATTAAACAAAACTTCCCATGAACTACACCAGCCATGAACATACAGAGCACACAAGACTTGTAGAATATGGACACCACCGTCAACTCACTGAGACCTTATTGATTCTGGGGTGTGACCGGTGGTCCAACACTTTCACTTAGACGACTCTCATCTATCTGGTCTGTAGGTTCTCTGAGCCCGCTGGGGTAAAACCCCACACAGCTGGGAGTCGTGCAATACTCAGGAGAAAACCCAGGGCCTTGAACACGGTGGGCACAAGTTCCGCACTTGAACTCTCTCTCCGCTTCCTACCTTGACAATCCTTTTAGACCATCCACTGAAACCAAAATATTAGTTTGCCAGTTCCTGGCACTGGGAGCTGTTTAGGGCAAGTGTAGAATGTCGAACTGCTTTATGTCTGCTGAGACGAACCTAAAGACATAAGAGAGGTACTCGAGGTTAGGAACGACTTCCCACAGAGATCTAATTCAGCCCACCCAAGACTTCTCAGTACAAGTTTCAAAAAGTGGCCGTGAAGAGCAAATCAAACAAACTTTGCTGGTTGCTGTAGTTTCAGAGCCATGCTCAGCAGTAATCAGTTCCTCCGAGCTCTGTGCTCCAGGATCACTCCAGGTGGTGGTTGGGGGAATCATATGTGCGGCTGGGGATAGAACCAGGTTGGCAGCAAGCAAGGTCAGCCCATTAACTCCTGGCCTATTTCTTTGGTCCTTAAACAGTTTAGGCATTAAGTTCATAGGAAGCACTAATACTTATTATTCTCAAGCCGTGGTACTTTTCTGCATTATTTCCAAAATCTCTGATTAATCTGAGCTTGTCCCTGACTTCTGGTGGTAAGTGAAACTATAAGCCGTAAGATCTGCAAGATTGTAGATAAGCAAAAGAAGTAAATTGCTTCAGTGATTCTATCTAGAAGCTCTTGCCTGTAACTATAACCTGATAGGTAAGATAGACCTGCCACCAAAGCCAAGACCTCATCTACAGCACTCCTCTCTCCAAATTATTAGCCTTGCTAGAAGAGACTACAGTTTCGTTTATTTTTTTGTTATGCCATTTTATGAGCAACGATCACCTGCATTTCTCGAGAAATGGTCTCGTTCCTGACATTCCATTCACTCTCAATGGGATGAACATCTCCGAATGCAACAGTTATGTGTACCTAGGTCGAGAAGTCAACATGACGAATGATCTGGCACCTGAGCTGCGCAGGAGAAAGAGAGCAGCTTGGAACGCCTTCAAGAACGTTGAAGAAATAGCTAAGAGGACAAAGAACCTCCGGCTCCGGGCACATCTCTTCAATTCCACTGTTCTTCCTGCATTAACATATGCCTCAGAGACCTGGGCCCTACGCAAACATAATGAGAACGCTATTCGAGTCTCCCAAAGAGGAGTCGAAAGAGCTATGCTTGAGTATCATGCTTCACTCAAATGAGAGAAAAGAATCCGAAGTTCCGACCTTCTTCGACGGTCAAGAATCGGGGACGCTCTCTCATTTGCCAAGGCGTCAAAAATCAGATGGCTGGACACATAATGAGATTTGGAGGTGACTGCTGGACTAGAGCCATTACCGACTGGATGCCACGGGACATCAAAAGATCACGTGGCCATCCACTTATGAGATGATCAGACTTCTTTGTCAAGACCCTGAACGATCGATTTGAGGCTCTTCGTGTTCCTAGAATGAGCAAATGCCATTGGGCTACATTAGCACGCGATAGGGATGAATGGAGACGTTGCTGGCACCCGCTCGAGCGAATCAATGAATAATGGGATGTCAAGTGACCAAGTGATCAAGATCATCTACATAAGAGCTTCTTTATAAAATACAAATACCTGTATTCTTAGTTCACTAAATACATTATTGTGGACTTCTTATATCACTAGTTCTTAAATGACAATTTTAACTTTCAGCCAGTATGTACTATATGAACTTATTAATAAAAATTCAAATGCAAGGGTGGAGAGATAGTCCAATGGGCAAGGCATTTTTGCATTGCATGTGGCCAATCTGGGTATGACCCCCAGTACCCCATGTGGTGCCACTAAGCCTACCAGGAGTGATCCCTGAGTGCAGAGTCAGAAGAAAGCCTTGAGCATTGCAAAACATAAAAGAAAAACTATTCAAACACAAATAAAAGCAGAGCAATACTAATTATTGATTTGTTTCATGTGCCTATCACTATAACCAGTTTACAAGCACCTTGAGTGCTCAAAGAATCCATATTGTATCCTTTCCTCATGCTCTGGAGCAAGAAAAGTTTGTTTCTCACAAAGGCTTGATAGTTTGTTGGTTGAGAGAATAAATCAAGGAATGAGAGAAGAGAACAAAATTAGTTTCCCCAACCTAAAGCTGCCTGAGGAGAGGGAGCAATGAAGACTGATCTTTGAATGCTTACACCACAGACTGGCCTGGACCTGTAGTGACTGCAGCTTTGTCAACTTAGGAAGCTTCAGAAGGGTTCTGAGACTCTGGAGAGGAGTTACCTTAATTTCGTAACAGTGTTGTTTTTTTTTTTTGCTGGTAACTATGCAGAAATTCTCTGATGACTTGGGTCTTTCCTTCATTTTACATTCAGATCCGCTTTACTTTTCTGTACTTATAGGAGGCCAAAAATAGACAAGAACAATGGTGCTCTCCAAGGTATAAAAGAACCTCTCATAGAAATGGAAAACTTTCAGAGAGAAGGTAGTAATCCCAGCCTGTGCATGAGATGATCTAACTAGGGTACCACCTTCACAACTACATCCTGATTTATAGGATGTTGCCATTATCACTATACTGGTAATGAATCTTATGCTATAAAAATCTCAACACCATATTTATGAAACTCGCCTTCCTCCCTCCTGCGGTGCCCTCACTCATGCAAGGTCTACGCTCTGCCACTGAGTCACATCCCTTTCCTACGAAATGGTCTTAATAGCCAGTGAGAGAAAGGGGTGGGGGGAGTACCACTCATCAATTACAATGGATACAGCACTGTAGCACTGTCCTCCATTGTCCATAGATTTGCTTGAGCGGGCACCAGGAACGTTTCACAACAAATTGTGAGACTTTGTTATTGTTTTTGGCATATCGAATACGTCACGGGTAGCTTGCCAGGCTTTGCAGTGGGAGTGAGATACTTTCAGTAGCTTTCGGTAGCTTGTAGGCAAACGCTCTACCCGCTGTGCTATTGCTCCAGCCCAAAAGGGATATAAGTGTATTTACTTATTTATTTGGGGGTGTGGGGCCACACCTGGCAATGCCCAGGCTTCATCCTGGCTCTGCACTCAAGAACCCCTCCTGGTGGGTCTTAGGAGACCTTACCTTAGGGATGCCAAGGATCCAACCAGTGTTAGCAAGTGCAAGCCAAGAGCCTTCCCCTTCTTTACTATCACTCTGGCCAAAAGCGGTTTCAATTCCAGCTGTAATATGACCGTGAGATGGCCAGAGTTTAGCGGCAGCTTACTGTCTGCAAAGCAAATAAGGTCCAAGAGACCTTGACCTCACTCCTAGGGGTTGGAGTAGGGGCGGAAGCAGGTGTTGGGTCTGCAGAGGAGCAGAAGAGTCTGTGGTCACACGGAGGGGTGTTCTCATGTCTGATGAAGGTGCAGGCAAGGACAAAAGGACGGGGAGTGAGAATGACCACTAAGAGAAGCCAGTTCAGGGAGCCGATCAGAGGTGGCTTAGAATTATCATGTGAAAATCTTGGAAACAATAATTCTCATTCATATATTCAGAGGTATGGGAGGGGATGGGGGGTCTGCACGGGAAAACAGCAGAGCGGGGGACCCCCTGGTTCTACCCCCATCCCCTCCACACCCAACCCTGCTCCACCAAAACTGAACCGAACCACAGAAGAATGGAAATGGGCCAGACAAATGAATGGGACTAAACTGAGGCCTAAGTGACATGGAATTCAGGAGCTGGAGACGGCGGAGCCTCGGGAGCACCCAAAGGGAAGAAATTTTTCAGTGGGAACTGGGAACTCAGGGTGGGCATCGGGAACAGTTGGCGGAAGACAGAGCGATGATGTTGGCTGCGAGTCCCTCCAGGCAGCAGAACTGTCAAGCGCACATTGGACCCCCTCAAAGCCCAGTGGAGGCTGGGAACTGGGCTCTGACCCTTCCAGCTAGTCTCTTACTGCAACCAGCCTCAGAGTTTCTGCAGAAGACAGCCTGTGGGGACGGGCCGTGTGCTGCTTGGATACTGGTAGACACTGCAAGGCAGTGGGAAGCTGGTGGGGGGGGGGGGGGGGGTATATGGCAGTGTAAGGTGCCCCAGCCCAGCACTGCTTCCCACGGCCCCGATCCCAGCCAAGCGCCAACCCATCTTCAGCGGAGAGGACTGGAAGAGCAGGTGCAGTTCGCAGGCCCATTGGGCTAAGTGGGCGGTGCGCGCAAATACAACGTGACCATGGCCTAGAACCGCGGATGGGGCGGCAGCAGCGTTGGGGAAGACGCGCACGGCATTCAGAAGGCGAAGCGGGGATGGCTGAGGACAGAGAATGTTGCAGGGACGCCGCGGTCACCCACCGCACAGAACTAGAATTTCCTCCATCTAGAATATTTCTCTATACCCTCAAACCCAATACAGTAATACACACTTCTCTAATACTGCATACTGTTTTTCTTCTATAGTCTAAACGGAAAGTTTTTATCTGTAGATCTGAGGTTGCATGAAGGTTGGTGTGGGGAGGGTGGAGAATTGGGAAAGGTCCTTGGGACATCAGTCAAGGGAATTAGTCTCTGGTGTTACGTGTGGTACTGCAAACAAAGATGTATGCACAAAATCAATGATTTAAGATAATGTAAATCCTGGTGTCACAAAATCAATGATTTAAGATAATGTAAATCCTGGTGTCACAATAAAATTGACATAAAGATTTTTAATAAGAAAGCACTGAAACAAGCTATATTTAGCATCACAATAATTTTGCATACCAAAGTAATATCTGATTTCATATTAATTCTTGCAATTCTCTAGAAACGATAATATTTTTATCTAAAATATGCCTTTTCACACTTAGGACCTCACACATGTACCTCTTCGTATTTGCATTACTGATAAGAACTTTGTAACATTTTACTAATCACCATTTACATGGTACATGGTAAAAAATCAAGTAATCATTTTTTAAAAATATTCCACAAAACTCTGAAAATCTTAACATGGCACTTTCAGAAATTTAAACTGCAGCTTAAAAATATCAACTGCGCTCAAACACATTTTCACATTTTCAGCATTTTAAATAGCACAGCGGGTAGGGCGTTCGCCTTACAAGCGGCCAACATGGCCGACCCGAGTTCGATTCCTCCGCCCCTCTCGGAGAGCCCGGCAAGCTACCGAGAGTATTCGATATGCCAGACACAGTAACAACAAAGTCTCCAATGGAGACGTTACTGGGCCCGCTCGAGCAAATCGACGATCAACGGGAGGGCCTTTACCTTTACCTTTACCTAAAAGATCCTACAGACAACAGGAAGCAAAATGAAAAAAAATCATCGTGAGCTGCACACAGTAATGAAGTTGAATGACTGGAGAGATTGCTCAATGGGCTGACCACATGCTCTGCATGCAGGAGGCCCATGTTTAATGCCCATCACCACCAAGTTCCTATCATCCAAAGAAGTCACGCTGAGCACCAAGACGGGGGCACCAACAGATGTGGTCCCGAAACAAACAAACAAAATATACATACCCTATTCCCAAATCAGTATTTCTACAAGACAAGCAATATTTAAGCACATTATCAAGGCAAAAAGAGCCAACAGACTATACTTATCCAACTCAAACCCGTATTCATTCAGAATCAAAAATTAAAATGAAAAAATGACCTCTACTCCAAACCAGAAAAAAAAAACTCTTCAAAACAACTTTGCAGTAAAGCAGTATACATATCAACAAGGTATTCATGAAGGCTACTTTCAATGGAAACCATCATTTCCTTTATATTCTTTACTTTTAGAAGTTTACTGCAAAGAGACAAAAGTATATGGAAGCTGGAAGTTTACAAAGGAACTTTCTTTGTTCTATTCAAGGAAAATATAAAGAACCAGTAAAAGTAAAATTCACTTTCCAGAAAATGTTTCTAGTCATTGTAAATAATAGTAAATCCACAATTCTTTAAGAGACTCTTTTCTTAAAGAATGCCCAAACTGCAATACATACAACATTCAAAGTTATAGAGATATTCAGATTGCCATTTTCCTTACCATTGTTAAAAAAAACAACAAGGAAAATTTAAGCCTCCAATTTTGATAGATTATATTATGGTCTATATAACAGCATAACCTGTTGGAAGAACTTTTATATCCAACAAACAAACATAGACTATGACTCAAAATAAAATCACAACATAGAGCAAGAACTGTACTTTGCATTTGTTAGTATAATAGGGTACAAATTCACATGCTTGCAAAAGTGGAGATGAAACAACAATCAGCAAACTTGTAGGTCACCAGGAAGCTGAAGGTTTGGGAAACAAAGAAGCTATTTCCACTTTAATCTTGTCCCTTGAGTAGTGGCATAGGAGAAGACTCAAGAACAAAAAATGAGAGCAACCAAGGATAATTTACTAAAATTCACCTTAAAAAAAGACTGAATCTGGGGCTGGAGCGATAGCACAGCGGGTAGGGCATTTGCCTTGCACGCGGCTGACCCAGGTTCGATTCCCAGCATCCCAGATGGTCCCCTGAGTACCGCCATGGGTAATTCCTGAGTGCAGAGCCAGGAGTAAACCCTGTGCATCGCTGGGTGTGACCCAAAAAGTCAAAACCAAAAAAAAAAAAAAGATTGAATCTGCCATCTTGGATCTCTGCACCTGGTGTAACTCCCATAGTACAGTCTTTGGCATAAGTTAAATAACATATTCCCCATTCAGATGCCATGTAATTTTGAATTGATAGGCCATACAAATACAAACTAACTGTGGCTAGTCAGTAACTTGTAGCTAAATATCAGATAAGCATTAACATAGAACTCTGAAAGGGAAGGGGAAAAAACACGATAAAAAGAACGGAATTTTAAACTATCACACAGTATTTAATCACCTTTATGGGGAAAAAGTGATTAGGGAAAAAAAGTGAATAGAAAATAGAAAAGACAGGAGTATTTTGAAATGTTTACTAATTACCATAAATATATTTGTAATTGAGGTAACTGCTATAACTTCAAGCCCCATTCGTATCCTTTTTTGTTTTTCACAGTAAGCGTTCCAGGTATCTTCGTTAAACCCATAATTAAAATAATCAGAACGGTCAGCGCCTAAAAAGAAGACACAACTTTTGTATGCAAGTATTTCAATCCTATTTTTATGCAGCAAATAAAATATAAAAATGTAAATGATAAGTTCTATAAGTATAAATACTTCTTCAAATTTTACTAGTTCTTCCGATTATTACTCTAGCACCACAAAACTATGTTTTTAATGAAATTTCCTTTATAAATGGCATTATAAGAAAATACTATGCTATGCAAGACTAATATAATGCTAAGCTACTGTTACAATTTAGCAACACAGGTCATTACTGCTAATTATGCTTAGGACATTTATAATGACATTTACAAAAATCCTATGAATACTATTGATACTGAAAGTTAGATATTTTTCTAATGACTGTAATATGAAACATCTTTTAAAAATCTGCAATCCAGAGAGATAAGTCAAAGAACTAGAATGAATGCTTTGAATATAGATGCCCAGGTTTGATCACAAGCACACAAGGTAACCAGTCATTGCCAGCAGACCTCAAGCACCATCAGGTGTTCCCAAGAAAAATCCAGTCCTCTTCTGCTGGGGAAACAGCTCGAGTATTAGAGCACATGCTCAGTGGCCTTGAGCACACGCCCTGGTACCACAATGTTCATCCCAGAAGACTGAGCATCACACACACTGAGTGCCCCAGGACCTTGAGGGTCACTGAGGCTGGTCCCAGGGAGGGGTATGGAGTCATTTATCATCTTACCAGGTTCACACCATGGTTTATCTTCAAAAGAATCCAAATCTACCTCCAAGAGTGGAACTCCATTAATACTTCTAGGTGCATCGAGCTCTACCCCTTTGACTTTTGTTCCTTTTTTAACAAATACAAAATAGAGAAAGAATGGCATGAGCAAGATACTGAGAGAAAAACAGAAAACACCATTTTACTAGTGATAGCTCTCAATAAAACAAAGGCTTCAATGAGAACATTAGAGTCAGGCATACTATAGGAATAAGCACGTTATCAATAACAGTAAGTTTAAACTTTAGGGAAGAAACTCTAAGATAAAGTGTACGGATTAGGAACTTGTTAACGCATTCAAATAAATTCCTGTACCAATATGTACCAATAACTTCCAGGTGTTAAATCCCTTTTTATATGCTGTGAACTATAACAGGTCTTACAGGGTTGTACAAACAAGTTAAAATCAAAAGAGGGAAAGAAACCTCGTGACCCACAAACTCTACAAATACGTATTCTCTTACAAAGCCTTTCACAGAGAAAAGTTTCCCCATCCTTGAGACACAAGTTTAAACGACTCTCTTGAATTGAACTGAAGCACTCTTCAGATCACCTGTGATAGCTACTATAGTCTGTACGTTATTCAGGCATAGTCATTACTTTCCTACTGATGCACTGGCAAATACAAATTTTACCTGTAGTTCCATGAACTCTTCCTCCTGTCTTGATATTAAGATTCACTGGTGCTTTTCCGTAACTCCTAAGAACAACAAAAATTATTCTGATAATCCTGAACTAAACAAAAATAGCAATATACTCCATGTATACAAGTTATACATATATAGACTGACATTGACTAACATGTTTTAAAAAAGTGGGTGTGGGGGAGGGTTCCGAAGTGCTGATTAGGGGACCTAAGGGTCCCTTCCTGCCATTACTGTGGTCGGCAGTTCAATGCCTGGGTCTGAGAATGCAATGTTCTTCAAGCACTGCAGTACCAAGGATTATCTAGAGTACCCCAGTTGTGCTCAGAGACCTTCAGAGCCAATTCAGCAATGCTCGGGGGACCAGGTGGTGTTGGGGATCAAACTAAACTGGTTACAGGCAAATCAAGTGACTTAACTCGCTGTACTATTTCTCTGACCCCTAGGGGGAAAAAAGTCTTAATTTTTTGTCACTTATTAAACAAAAAATTTTAAAAAAAACAGATATTCTGGGATCAAGAAAGATAGTGCTGAAGGCCTTCAAAAGTACCCCCAGATGTGTCCTTGGAAGCACCTGAGCACGACTGGAACAATACGACCACATACATTGGCCCTCAAATTAAACCACCTACCATTGGGCTGAGAATCACTCGCAGTGAGGCCTGGGCCACCTGAACAAAGGGAGGACTCTTCCACAAAAGAAACAATTACATCTTATATGTTTGGGTTAGGGCACATACATAATATGAGCATGACCTGGGCATCATCCCCAACACAATCTGACCCCTCGCACACTGCCAGATTATTATCCAGGGGTCCCAAGCACTGTCACGACAATCCTGGTGGCACCAGCACCTCACAGCACAGAACTGCTGCTCAAACAGCCGAGAATCAACAGGAGGAAATCCCCAAAGGCAAAGGGGCCCCGGAGCAACACCTGGCAGGCCAATCCCTAAAAAAATTCATTCCAGGCCATTAGCACTGAACACCACTTAGAAAGCCGCCCCACTCCCCAATTCTCCCATGCCCCCCCCAAAAGGGGGTCTTAAAAGTTGAATGTTTTTTTTCTTCAAAAACCTACCTGCCAGTACATGTCCCACTGTTACACACTTCCCAAGAAACTAAGCTGGTCAAGGGAAAGTAGCACTGTAGCACCGTCCTCCCGTTGTTTATCGATTTGCTCGAGCGGGCACCAGTAACGTCTCACAACAAATTGGGAGACTTGTTCTTACTGTTTTTGGCATATTAAATACATCACAGGTAGCTTGCCAGACTTTACCCTGGGGGCGAGATACTCTCGGGCGGAGGAATCGAACCCAGGTCGCCATGTTGGCCACATGCAAGGCAAACGCCTTACCCACTGTGCTGTCACTCCAGCCCTAAAGCGTAAGTAACACATTTATATATACATCTTGTCCTCATTTCCTTGCCTCCTACTGAATTCAGTAGTCAGCAATCCTGTAAGAAAGAAGTAATAAGAAATAGTCCTTGTTTTATAATCCAGTGATCTCCTTTAGGCTCTCACTGCATTCAATACTGTTAGTAGATCGTCTTTCAAATACATGGACTACTTTTGTCCATAAAATAAATTCATAAAATGAAATCAATCTAAACCAAAACCAGAATGTGGTTCTTGGTGTAAGTGGTTAAGGACGGAGAGAAAACAATAGGGAACAGGTTTCTAGAATGCGAGTACCATTCCATATCCTGATCTGGGTGGAAGTTACATGAAAACGAAACACTTGTAAAGATGAACTCAATTTCATTTAACGTAGTAAAATATACCTGAAAACAGAGGGAAAAGCTAAAATTTGGAGCCAGAACCCCATTCACATTCAAGGTTTAGCCAATATTACTTATGTGATTTTGGCCTAAGACCTGTATACATTTTCCTTAACAGTAATTTAGATAGCCACGAAGTGCTAGATCCCACATACCTGGGAGTCCAAAGGAATTTCAAGCAAGTATGTGAAAGTATTTCATTTTAACATGAATCTCCCACACTGACCAGATCAGTTATATTTTCAATTAACGTCTCGACAAGCCGTGAAGCCATTGAGTTCTCCAAGTTACCCATAATTCTGTTTAGTACTCAAAAGTATCTTCTTTATCCCCCCATTTTAACTTAGATCAAAGAATATAACATGGATTCACAGTCAGCCTTCTAGAGAGGTCTGTGCTAATGGACCCCTCCCTCACTTTCCACTTACCTCTCCACCCTCTACAGCCCAACTCTGCAACTTTCATCCACAAAAACTGTCTCTCCACAGCTCTTTTTCATGGTCATTTTCACTCATCCCCTCCTGATAATTCTTTTTAAAATTTTTTGGATGTTTCACAATCATCAGTTTGCTCCTGGCCGAATTCCACTATCCGGATAAGTCTCATCCAGAAATTAATTTTGAAAAACTCCAGCATGCAGGTTTTGTGATTGAAATCTCCAGCTTTCATGAGGTCAGGGAGGGTTCCCTCCCTCCATGTATCCCTGTTCTTCTGGAAGCCCGGCAGGAACACCTCCAGCGCCATGTGAGCTCTCTCACAGGCCATGATCCAGAATAAATTAGAATAACAAACTTAGAAATAAATCTTGAAAGAGATCAAGAATTTCTCTCGGATCCTGCACAAGGCTGAGTCATCCAGAGGCAACCCAGAGAGGAACGGGTGAATCCCCACGTCCACCCAAACAGAGTGCCAGCAGCCAAAAACCTCCACATTCCACAATCAGCTTTCGGAGATCGGGCACAGACTACCCTCTGTGCTTCTGGAAGCCCAGCCGTCAGGCCTATGCCCCAAAGCCACCAGTTAAGAATTTCACTCCATCTGTTACTCCGTCAACACTTTTGGACACCCTGGAGTGTGTGGATGCAATTCTGGCTACGCAACATCTCTAACTCTGTAACACTGTTAAGCCAGAAGTAGCACACAGGACTGGATGGTATGTAATATGAAAGGCAACCAATTTCAATTGACAAAATCTATACACAGAAGGCTTTACCTGTAACGTCTTAGTAATCTCTTACACAAGGTTTAAGGGCTCCATGGTGAGATAGAAGAATCTTCACTACCGGGGCTGGAGCAAAAAAGCAAACAAAGAAAAAATTCACAATCTTTCTTCTAAGGAAACAGTTTTTGATCATCCTTTCATCAAATTATTTATAACGAGCAATGTAAAATAAATGATAGTGGGTCTGCTATGGGGGCATGTTCAAGTGGTAGTTGGGAAAATTGGAAATAATGGTGGTGAGAAGGTGCAATGGTGGTGGACTGGTGTTGGAATATTAAATGTCTGTAACTAATGACTAAAAATCTGTTTTTTTTTTTAATTTTGCTTTTTGGGTCACACCCGGCGAGGCACAGGGGTTACTCCTGGCTCTGCACTCAGGAGTTACTCCTGGAGGTGCTCAGCGGACCATATGGGATGCTGGGAATCGAACCTGGGTCGGCCCCATGCAAGGCAAACGCCCTGCCCGCTGTGTTATCTCTGCAGCCCCTAAAAATCACGGATTAAGGATTTAGTCACGGTCCTCCCGCTATTCATCGCTTTGCTCGAGCGGGCCCAGTAGCGTCTCCATCGGAGACTTTGTTGTTACTGTGTCTGGCATATCGAATACGTCACGGGGAGCTTGCCAGGCTCTGCCGTGCGGGCGAGATACTCTCGGTAGCTTGCCGGGCTCTCCGAGAGGGGCGGAGGAATCGAACTCGGGTTGGCCATATTGGCCGCTTGCAAGGCAAACGCCTTACTGCTGTGCTATCTCTCCAGCCCCTAAAAATCATTTTAAATTATTTTTTAAAAAAAATATACTATCAAGTTACACTGTATGCAGAGATTCAAGATAGGAGATTTAGTCTTTTTTTAAGTGAATTTTCATAAATTATCTTCTTCAGCAGGGAAGCTGCTGGCTTACTCTGGATTCAGCATCTCACGCAGACAGCAATTCAAAGCTACAGAAAAATCTGGAACGAACTCTGAAATATAGTTTTAAAATACATTTTAAAATATTTTAAAACTTCGGGGCCAGATAGATAGCACAGCAGGTTAGGCACTTGCCTTGCACACAGTTGATTAGGGTTGGATCCCTGACACCCCATATGGTCGCTAAAACCCAACAGGAAGGATCCTTGAGCACAGAGATAGGAGCAAGCCCTGAGCACAGCTGGGTGTGGCTCCAACCCTCACCCCTGCTAAAAATGTATTTTTTAAAGGATCGGTTCCAGAGTAACACCTGAATATCTCTGGGTGTGCTCCTACTCCCCCAAACTAAAGAAACAAGCCATAGAGAGTTTAAAAATAAAAGCCTTCTGATTTTTTAAAAATCAATTAAAAAACTGAATTAAAAATATTAAAATCCTAGAGCTAAGAAAATAGCTCAAATAAAAGCACATGCCTAACATGTCAGATCCTGTACCATGAATACCACTGAAAGTATCCCCAACACTACCAGTTTTGGGCCTTATTTTAAAATATATACATATATAACATACATAAAAAAACAAAGCTCAAGATTGGAAGAATACAAGCTGCAATTTAATAGTTTCTAAATCTAAAAATTTGTAGCACTCATTTTACAAAAACACTTTCAGTCCTAGAATTACAAATTACTGATTCCATGCAACTTTTATAATTCAATTCACCATTAGGAAGGAAATGTTTTCCATGGCTAAGTATTTTTTGAGACATAAATAACAAAGAATTTGTTTTAGGTGTTCAACATGACTTGACATACATATACATACATATATGTATGTATATAAACTGCAAAATGCTGATCACAGCAATTTAACATTCATCGTCACAGTTTTCATTTTCTTCTTATAAGAATGTTTAAGATGTACAACTTTTAGCAACTGAAAGTAAAACTTAAATAAGAATGCTTTCATATCATGATATGATAAAAAATGTAAAACCAACAGAATCTATCACTAACGTCTTAATAATGGCACCCAGTTTTTGATACAGGACTGCTAGTTAAAGAAGTAAAGGATGTATTTCAGTGGGAGAGCACATGCTTCACATGTATGTGGTCCTGGGATCAATTCCCTGCACCATAAGACTAGAAATTGAAAATTTAAAAACTTACCCATATTGTGGTGCTCCTGTTATAATGTCTCCGATAGTGACATGAACATCATCCTCATCATCATCACTGTCACTATCATATTCAGTTTCAGTCACTTTCTGTACCAACATAAACAGTAATAAAATAGATTCAATAATGCACCTTCAACATGAATAACTGAAACAGTAACCAATTTGTTTCATCTATGGGTTTAGAGTTATGAAACCAATGTCTCCATTTCTTCTTTGTAAATTTAATGTTTTAAAAACTAAAAAAAAAGTGATAGAAATGTGAAAAGAGGCTGTCAAGAAGTTTTTGTATGACAAACTAATGTATCTTTATGCGTAAAGCTTTCTCTCTTGCAAAAAGGATCTAAGGGAATGTGCTAAGATATCCAGCAGATAGAACCATAAAAAGTAGGCATTGGAAGAACTTTTGGCAAAAGGAATGTGAAGATAAGAGTGAAAAATTAATTATGGAGCTGGAGCCATAGCATTGCAGGGAGGGCATTTGCCTTGCGCACGGCTGACCCTGGACTCGATTACCAGCATCCCATATGGTCCCAGAGCACTGCCAGGAATAATTCCTGAGTGCAGAGCCAGTGCATCAGCAGGTGTGCCCCGAAAAGAAAAAAAAAAATTAATCATACTAGGCACAGTGTTAGGTTGAAAAGCAACAAAATGTTACCAAAGAGCTCACCAGTCATGGCATTCATTTATATCTTAGAAGAGGTCTTGCCACAAAATGACCGGGAATATATTTTATCTGAAAAACGAAAAAACATCAGCATACTTAGGAAATCTCTTAGGAAAGTGTTATTCTGGCTCTAAACAGCTCTTTTGTCCATAGTATCCTTTTGGTTAACTTTAAAAAAAAGGACCATTTAAACCAGTATTTATCAATAAGAGACGGTATGAGACCAGGATGTTCCAAGGGGCAACGGCAGAATTCCCATGGGTGGGAGAAAGCAGGAGACTAGAGGACCATTAGCAGGAGAGGGCAGGCCACCAGGCCACACGTGGAAAAAAAGGCTGGAAGGGGCCAGAGTCTGAAAAAGACGGAAAAACATGAACCTGGGAACAACATTTTTACCAGGACAAGTTTAATCCTGCAGAGTACCAATCTCTTTCTTTCATAGAAAGAATTGAATATATTAAAATCTTCAAAAGACCATGGTAAAATAATCCTGCAAAACATCACTTTGAAGGTGAATGAGGTCAGAGACCAACATCCAAAATAACATCTTGCTTAAAAACAAAACCAAAAAAGCCAAATATTTCTTAAAAGAACTGTGATCATCTAACAGGTTCAGAACTCAAATGAAAGCAATAAACCTCTGCACACACTCTATTTCATCTGAACACCTTCCCACTATTTCTTTTCACTGTGCATCAAATAAAAATACCTGACAGCGAGATTGTGCAGGATACTCCAAAGTCTAGCTGAATGTAGACTTTCTTCGTAGCTAGAAATCTACAGATTTTAAATACGGAAGCGACTGAATTCCAAAGCCTTATGTTACTGGTTTAGGAACACCATTTTCAGCAGCTTCCTCTTCAATCCCAGATGGAGGACTGGCACTACAAATAAAAACAAGTACACGTGTCTGTGTTACTTTCGGGCAAGTGCCCGACTGTCGGGCAAGAGGCGCCCTTTTCCGCAGGTGCGTCCACGCGCACTGGCCCTCGGGAAAGGAGCCGTTGGCGGGGCGGGGGGCGGCGCCGTCCCCGGGGCGCGGGGCGAAGCGCTGAGGACGGGAGGGCGGTGCGGGCAGCTCGGAGGCCGGGGAGGGCGTGGCGGCGGGGGCGGCAGCGGGGGCGGCGGCGGGGGCGGCAGCGGGGGCGGCGGCAGGCACGTGGTTAGGCGCGCGCGGCGCGGCTTGTGCGCACGCGCAGCGGCGACCCAGCGGCGCGGTGGCGGCGACCTGAGCCTGACTGCGCCTGCGCGCGGCCCAGGCCCCGCCCCCAAGACATCCCGCCCCGCCTCGCAGGGAGGCTTTCTCGCCCGCTGAAAAGGAAAGAAAGAAAAGGAAAGAAAGGAAAGAAAGAAAAGGAAAGGAAAGAAAAGGAAAGAAAGGGAAGAAAGGAAAAGAAAGAAAAGGAAAGAAAGGAAAGAAAGAAAAGGAAAGAAAAGGAAAGAAAGGAAAGAAAGGAAAAGAAAGAAAAGGAAAGAAAGAAAAGGAAAGAAAGAAAAGGTCAAAAGGAAGCCCCCATGGGCAAAGCAAGAGGGATTTGCAGAGGGCGGGTGGGGGGGGGGGGAGGCGCAGCTGACGCGGACGCGGGCGAGAAAGCCTCGCTGCGAGGCGGGGCGGGATCTCTTGGGGGCGGGGCCTTGGTCGCGCGCAGGCGCAGTCAGGCTCAGGTCGCCGCCTCCGCGCCACTGGGTCGCCGCTGCGCGTGCGCAAAAGCTGCGCTGCACGCGCCGAACCAGGTCCCCGCTGCCGCCGCCGCCCCGGCATGTGGGAGCCCCATCACCCCACATGGTCCCCAACGCCCGCCAAGAGTGGTTCCACGCAGGCAGAGTGTGGCCCCAAAACTAAACTTCATAAAGCAATTCTGGGGGGCTGGAGTGAGAGCACAGTGGGGAGGGCGTTTGCCTTGCACGTGGCTGACCCGAGTTCGATTCCCAGCATCCCACAGGGTCCCCCGAGCACCGCCGGGTAATTCCCGAGCGCAGAGCCGGGAGGAAGCCCTGAGCGTCGCCGGGTGTGACCCCCCAAAAAGCAAAATAAACTAAGTAATTCTGATAGTGCGGATTAACCGGACCGTCCGGAAAGGAGCCGTTGGCGGGGTGGGGGCGGCGCCGTCCCCGGGGCGATGGGCGAAGCGCTGAGGACGGGAGGGCGGTGCGGGCAGCTCGGAGGCCGGGGAGGGCGTCCCGCAGCCGGGGGCCGCGAGGACAGAGCGAGGCGCCGCGGGAGGGGCGCCGGGGAGCACGGGGCGGCAGGTACCGGCGGCGGCAGCGGGGTCGGCGGCGGGGGGCGGCAGCGGCGGCGGGGGGCGGCAGCGGGGGCGGTGGCAGTCACGTGGTTAGGCGCGCGCAGCGCGGCTTGTGCGCACGCGCAGCGGCGACCCAGCGGCGCGGCGGCGGCGACCTGAGCCTGACTGCGCCTGCGCGCGGCCCAGGCCCCGCCCCCAAGAGATCCCGCCACGCCTCGCAGGGAGGCTTTCTCGCCCGCTGAAAAGGAAAGAAAGAAAAGCAAAGAAAGGAAAGAGAAAAGGAAAGAAAAGAAAGGAAAGAAAAGGAAAGAAAAGGAAAGAAAGGAAAGGAAAGAAAAGGAAAGAAAGGAAAGAGATAAAAGGAAAGAAAGAAAAGGTAAAAAGGAAGCCCCCATGGGCAAAGCAAGAGGGATTTGCAGAGGGCGGGTGGGGGGGAAGGCGCAGCTGACGCGGACGCGGGCGAGAAAGCCTCGTTGGGGACCATGTGGGGTGATGGGGCTCCCCACATGCCGGGGGCGGCGGCGGCAGCGGGGACCTGGTTCGGCGCGCGCAGCGCAGTTTCTGCGCAGGCGCAGCGGCGACCCAGTGGCGCGGAGGCAGCGACCTGAGCCTGACTGCGCCTGCGCCTGCGCGCGGCCGAGGCCCCGCCCCCAAGAGATCCCGCCCGGCCTCGCAGCGAGGCTTTCTCGCCCGCGACCCCGTCCGCTGCGCCTCCCCCCCACCCGCCCTCTGCAAATCCCTCTTGCTTTGCCCATGGGGGCTTCCTTTTGACCTTTTCTTTCTTTCCTTTTCAGCGGGCGAGAAAGCCTCGCTGCGAGGCGGGGCGGGATCTGTTGAGGGCGGGGCCTGGGCCGCGCGCAGGCGCAGTCAGGCTCAGGTCGCCGCCTCCGCGCCACTGGGTCGCCGCTGCGCGTGCGCACAAGCCGCGCCGCGCGCGCCTCACCACGTGCCTGCCGCCGCCGCCGCCCCCGCTGCCGCCGCCGGTACCTGCCGCCCGGTGCTCCCCGGCGCCCCTCCCGCGAAGCCTCGCTCTGTCCTCGCGGCCCCCCGGCCGGGACGCCCTCCCCGGCCTCCGAGCTGCCCGCACCGCCCTCCCGTCCTCAGCGCTTCGCCCCGCGCCCCGGGGACGGCGCCGCCCCCGCCCCGCCAACGGCTCCTTTCCCGAGGGCCAGTGCGCGTGGACGCACCTTGTACTTGTTTTTATTTGTAGTGCCAGTCCTCCATCTGGGATTGAGGAGGAAGCTGCTGAAAATGGTGTTCCTAAACCAGTAACATAAGGCTTTGGAATTCAGTCGCTTCCGTATTTAAAATCTGTAGATTTCTAGCTAAGAAGAAAGTCTACATTCAGCTAGACTTTGGAGTATCCTGCACAATCTCGCTGTCAGGTATTTTTATTTGATGCACAGTGAAAAGAAATAGTGGGAAGGTGTTCAGATGAAATAGAGTGTGTGCAGAGGTTTATTGCTTTCATTTGAGTTCTGAACCTGTTAGATGATCACAGTTCTTTTAAGAAATAATTGGCTTTTTTGGTTTTGTTTTTAAGCAAGATGTTATTTTGTATGTTGGTCTCTGACCTCATTCACCTTCAAAGTGATGTTTAGCAGGATTAATTTACCATGGTCTTTTGAAGATTTTAATATATTCAATTATTTCTGTGAAAGAAAGAGATTGGTACTCTGCAGGATTAAACTTGTCCTGGTAAAAATGTTCTTCCCAGTTCATGGTTTTCCGTCTTTTTCAGACTCTGGCCCCTTCCAGCCTTTTTTTCCACGTGTGGCCTGGTGGCCTGCCCTCTCCTGCTAATGGTCCTCTAGTCTCCTGCTTTCTCCCACCCATGGGAATTCTGCCGTTGCCCCTTGGAACATCCTGGTCTCATACCGTCTCTTATTGATAAATACTGGTTTAAATGGTCCTTTTTTTTAAAGTTAACCAAAAGGATACTATGGACAAAAGAGCTGTTTAGAGCCAGAATAACACTTTCCTAAGAGATTTCCTAAGTATGCTGATGTTTTTTCGTTTTTCAGATAAAATATATTCCCGGTCATTTTGTGGCAAGACCTCTTCTAAGATATAAATGAATGCCATGACTGGTGAGCTCTTTGGTAACATTTTGTTGCTTTTTAACCTAAAACTGTGCCTAGTATGATTAATTTTTTTTTCTTTTCGGGGCACACCTGCTGATGCACTGGCTCTGCACTCAGGAATTATTCCTGGCAGTGCTCTGGGACCATATGGGATGCTGGTAATCGAGTCCAGGGTCAGCCGTGCGCAAGGCAAATGCCCTCCCTGCAATGCTATGGCTCCAGCTCCATAATTAATTTTTCACTCTTATCTTCACATTCCTTTTGCCAAAAGTTCTTCCAGTGCCTACTTTTTATGGTTCTATCTGCTGGATATCTTAGCACATTCCCTTAGATCCTTTTTGCAAGAGAGAAAGCTTTACATATAAAGATACATTAGGTAGTCTTACAAAAACTTTTTGAAAGCTTTTTTCACATTTCTGTCACTTTTTTTAGGCTATAAAGCATTAAAGTTACAAAGAAGAAGTGGAAACATTGGTTTCATAACTCTAAACCCATAGATGAAACAAATTGGTTACTTTTTCAGTTAGTAGATATTGAAGGTGGATTATTGAATCTATTTTATTACTATTTATGTTGGTATAGAAAGCGACTGAAACTGGATATGATCGTGACAGTGATGATGATGAGGATGATGTTCATGTCACTATCGGAGACATTAAAACGGGAGCACTACAGTATGGGTAAGTTTTTAAATTTTCAATTTCAAGTCTTGTGGTGCAGGGAATTGATCCCAGGACCACATACATGTGAAGCATGTACTCTTCCATTGAAATACATCCTTTACTCCTTGAACAGTTCTGTATCAAAAACTGGGTGCCATTATTAAGACTTTAGTGATAGATTCTGTTGGTTTTACATTTTTTATCATATCATGATATGAAAGCATTCTTATTTAAGTTTTACTTTCAGTTGCTAAAACTTGTACATCTTAAACATTCTTATAAGGAAACAATGAAAACTGTGATGATGAATGTTAAATTGCTGTGATCAGCATTTTGCAGTTTATATGTATATATGTATATGTATATCAAGTCATGTTGAACACCTAAAACAAATACTTTGTTATTTATATCTCAAAAAATACTTAGCCATGGAAAAGATTTCCTCCCTAATGGTGAATTGAATTATAAAAGTTGCATGGAATCAGTAATTTGTAATTCTAGAATTGAAAGTATTTTTGTAAAATGAGTGCTGCAAATTTTTAGATTTAGAAACTATTAAATTTCAGCTTGCATTCTTCCAATCTTGAGCTTTGGTTTTTTTCTGTATTTTGTATATGTAATAATTTTAAAATAAGGCCAGTAACTGCTGGTGTTGGGGATACTTTCAGTGATATTCATGGTACAGGATCTGACATGTTAGGCATGTGCTTTTATTTGAGCTATTTTCTTAGCTCCAGGATTTTAATATTTTTAATTCAGTTTTTAATTGATTTTTAAAAAATCAGAAGGCTTTTGTTTTTAAACTCTGTATGGCTTATGTTCCTTTAGTTTTGGGGAGTGGGGGGACACCCAGTGATATTCAGGTGTTACTCTGGAATCCATATGGGATCTCTGGGGTTGAGCCCAGGTTGACCACATGCAAGGCGGGCACCCTACCCAGTGTGCTAAAGTTCTAGCCCCTTTAGCTTCTTTTTTAAGTTGTTAATTATTCCTTTTTGTTTTTTAGTTGTGTTAGCTAAGTTTTATGTTTTGTAAACTGGATCAGATGAATGAGCTGTCATTTGTTTGTCCATCCAATTATCTTTACTTGTGGGGTGAAGTGGAGATTTGAACCTCACCCAACAGTGCTCTGAGACTAGTCCTGGTTCAGCTTAGGAGTTCCATCTGGTGGTCGAGAGACCACATGTGGTGCTAGGGATTTGAACTGAGGTTGGCTACATGTGAGGCAAATGCCTTCCCTCATGTATTACCTCCCTGACAACATTTGGAGTCTTAATAGAAAGATTCTGAAATGAATAAAGTACAGATAATGCTTTTGTTATGATGGTTGAATGGAAGTCAGTGTTTTCTGATTTTCAAATTTGACATATGCTGTACTGGGAAGGTAAATTATCTTATTAAATGTGCCATCCTTTATCTAGCAGACTTTGTATCTTATATATCATAAATGCTTTAGAATTATTTCTTCAGTAGAACCTTTTCCTTAAGTTACTTCAAGAACCATGCAGTTAATTCAGCTACTGTCATTGTCATTTGGGGGGCAGAGGCACTCTCAGAGATGCGCAGGAGTTACTCCTGACACCTCTGTCAGGAATTGCTCCTGGTGATGCTCAGGGGACCATATGAAATCAAACTTGGGTCTGCTACCTTCAAGGCAAATGCTCTATCCACTGTACTGTCTCTCGAGCTCCATATCACTGTCATCTTGTTATAATGGCAATTGCCTTTACAACTTAAAATCCTTAGGAAAATTTTGGTGGAATCCAGAATAGATTAAATTATTTGTCTTTTTTTAATTTAAAAAATTCATATTTCATTTTATTAATTAAAAAAAATTTATCACCATACAATACAGGGTCATAAAGCTGTTTATGGTTGGTTTTCAGTCATACAGTTTTCCAACACCTGTGCCTCCACCATCGTATATTTCTCACTGCCAGTGTCCCAGGGTTCCCCCCCGCCACCTTCCCCTGGCCTGTCCCTATGACAAGCACTTTTCTTCTCTCTCCCTCTCTCTCCCTCCCTTTTTCTCTCTCTCTCTCTCTCTCCCTCTCTCTCTCTCTCTCTCTCACACACACACACACACACACATACACACACACTCATTTTGGGCATTATTGTGATCATTTTATATTTTGTTTATTTTTTATTTATTTCTTTATTTTTAATTTTATTGAACACCGTGAGATAGATGCAAGCTTTCATGTTTGGGTTACAATCACAGATGATCAAACACCCATCCCTCCACCAGTGCATATTCCCCACCACCAATATTCCCGGTATACCTCCCCTTTTGCACCCTCCCCCGGCCTTCATGGCAGACATTACAATCCCATTCACAATAGTACCTCAGAAAATCAAGTACCTCAGAAAATCAAGTACCTCGGAAAAGAACAGGGATCAGCATTGTTGAAGGTGACTGGCTTAACCTCTACACTATTTCTCTGGTTATTTTAGATTCTCTTGAAGCTAAGGCTGTGGCTTATTTTTCTTTGTACCTTTATTTTTCTTTGTACTTTTGTCCAGTATAGAACCTGAAATGTTTTACATATTGATTAAAATTTGGTTGAATACATAATTTATTATATATTGCATTGGAATGATATGGATTGAATATTTAACACAGTTACTGAGCACCTGTTACATCTTAGTGTTGGGGATCCCAGCTCTCTGGCACACTAGAACAAATATATTATTTTATTACTTTTTGGTTTGGGGTCATACTTGGCAGTGCTCAGGGGTTACTCGTAACTCTGTGCTCAGGAATTACTCCTGGCGTGCTCAGGAGTCCGTATGGGGTGAGAGATAGAACCTGGGTCGGTTGCGTGAAAACCAAAAGCCCTCCTCACTGTACTGTCACTCCAACCCTCTAAAACAAATATGTTAAAGAAAACAGGTGTGTTCAGATTTAGTCAAAGATATTCCAACTATTAGCAGATATACCAACTGATTGTTGTCTGTTAAGGGGATCAGCGGGAGGATAGGGTAATGGAATGATGGTGCTGAGTTAGAAAATTCTCACATGGGAGATTTCATTGAAATCAATAATGTTTAAATGGTTAGGAAGATGACAAAAGTGAAAAAAAGTGAAAACTTGACCTGTAGGTTTGTTATGTAGGTATGCAACCAAGTTAACAGTGCTCTCTATGACAATAAGCAACACATTAGGAGACATGACATGGCCATTGTTTTTATGTTCTGTGGTGGCTCTGAGTTCAGATGAATAAAGTGATTACTTTTATTATTTTTTAATTTGTCATTGAACATAATGTTAGACATGGGTTACTTATAGGTGATGAACCTGAGGTCTGTTCCTTTATGACTGACTTGTTGAGAGGTTTTAGGTTTCTAATTTATGTATTAAATCGCCACGAGATAGTGACAGCTTTAAGGTTTGAGCTTCAGTCACACAATGATCGAAAACCAATTCCTACAGCAGTGTAGCTTTTCCACCACCAGTGTCGCCAATATGTCTCCTGCCACCCCCACTCCACTACACCCCTGCCTCTATGGCAGGTAGTTTCCTTCTTACTTTCTCTCTCTCCTTTGGGATATGATGGTTTACAATACAAATCCTGAGAGGCCATTATGTTTGGTCCTTGGTCAACTTTCGGCTCACATCGCCTATCCCAAGCGATCCTCCAACCATCACTGGCTTGGTGATCCCTTCTCTATTCCAGCTGCCTTCTCCCAGAGCACTTGTTGCAGGCTCCCAATGATGGACCAATCCTCCGGGCCCTTGTGTGTACTCTCAGTAGCTTGCCAGGCTTTCCGAGAGGGGCGGAGGAATTGAACTCATGTCGGCCGTGTTGGCCATGTGCAAGGCAAATGCCCTACCCGCTGTGCTATCGAGCACGGCAATAGTGATATTTGTTAATCCTATTTGCAGGGCTGCTTTGTGAATAAAAATCATTTCAACTTATAGATCCAAACATATTAGTTGAGTATTGTATTCATCCTTGGAAGGAAATAGATTTGCAGGTTCAGAAGTTGTTCTTTACTTACTGAAAAGGGGGAAAGCATGAGCATTGAGGAGAAGACCAGCTGGGCCAGAATTGTATCAATATTTCTATCAACGTCTAAGTCCACCATCTTTTTTGTCTGTTTTTTGTTTGGGGCCATAACTGGCTATGGACTCAGGGTTCACTGCTGACAGGCTGAGGTGTCCATCAAGGGTGTCAGGGATCAAACCTGGGTGAGCCACGGGCAAGCATTTGCCCTACTTGATGTACTATCGCTCCAGCCCCTAAGTCTCCCAGGTTTTGTTTTCTGAATTGTCCAAGGGAAAGTTGTGTTGTGGGTAGTTCTGTTCACTGGTGGAATGATAATCTTCCAAACAATGATCAAGTTAGGGCTAGAGCAATAGTATAGCAGGAAGGGTGTTTGCCTCGCACATGGCCAACCCAAGTTCAATCCACAGCATCTCCTATGGTCCCCTGAGCACCACCAGGAATAATTCCGAGTGCAGAGCCAGGAGTAGCTCCTGAAAAGCACCAGGTGTGACCTCAAAAGTCAAAATAATAATAATAACTGAAAAGTAATTGTAAAAAACCTCAATGATGAATTTGGGAGTGAGAACTTAGGTCCATTCTTTAAAAAGCACTGAACACTGTTATTTGTCTTGAATTTTGGGTTGAGTTCATTTAATGAACTTGTTTATTATTTCTTAATGTGTTTTTTGGGGCAGTCTCCGAAGCTCAGGACCTACTCCCAGCCCATTACTTTAGGTTTCACTCCTGGTGATAATCAGAGGGTTGCAGTACTGGGGATTGAATCCAGAGTTACCTCATGCTTGAGCAGAGGAAACATATACAATGTCTCTCTGACCCTCATTTGTTGTAAAAGTGTTAATACATAGATGTAAAATATCTCAGTAGTCACCAGTACATAGAACACACTCTTTAACTTCTTCTGTTATTGTTATCTGTTACCATTTCTCAATTTATTCATTCTTTCATCGGGGAAGAACTTCAGGGAGTCTGTAACTGTAAGTTCAGTGTCCTCGACCTCTTGGGTACAGGGTGTACCCAATAATATTTACTACGTGAAGAGAAGATTCCAGAAGAGGGGAGATCTACTCATCAGATTTCTACACTCTTCTGGACCTTCTATTGTCATTAGCACAAAAAGGAAAAATATCGCTATCCTAAAAATTTAGTATGGTGTCCTGGGGTTGAACCCATGTGCAAGGCAAGTTTCTAAACTCCTGCTCTTTCCATCCCCACCTGCATGTTAGTTTAGATTAAAGGACCTTTATAAACATGAAGCCAAATTTCTTTTCCTCCTTTTCTTCTAAAAACGATAACTTGTGTAACGTGGTTACCATAGTGTTTGCGCTTTTTAATTCTGAACAAGGTTACTGCACCTTGACTACCCCCAAAGTGCCAAAAAGATTCCATCACTGACCTTGCGTGCCTTTGGGTCCTTCTGTCACTTCTACTTTGGCTCCGTTTCTGCCTTACAACCCCCTCCCCCTGCTGCTTGCCATTCTTACTTTAGAAATCGAAAGCCAAAGATTTGTTATCACTTGATATTGTCTGATCCCGGGTTTTGTTTCTCTACAGATCACAGTTACTGACCCAGAGTGCAAGGGGTCTTCCCCCAGGTCATCATTGTAAATTTTTGTCTTCTTGTCTGCTTAAATAGGAGCAGTGGGACCTCATGGAGACAACTTGGTAGAAAAGATTCTATCAGTGCTCCCGCAGTTTCCCGGCCACACGAGTGATGGGATGGTCAGCATGGCCGGCCTTACGGCCCTCCAGGCTGAAGACGAGAATCAGAACGTGGTCGCACCAGGCTGTCTGGCACAATCCCAGTGAGTTATCTTCCCCTCATCCTCCTCACTGTTCCTTTTCTTTTTCTCTCCGAGGCTGAGCTTTCCTCTAGAAATGAAACATCAGCCTGCTGGAGAAATTTGATGGATTTCATGTTGGAAAAAAAAAGTCACTTTTTCGTAACTTTGAAATAACCATATTCTTTAGCCAACACTGAGCCACAAAGCACGGGGTTTTGCAGCGGTATCATTTAGATGTAATAGAAGCTTGTTCCCAGGTGAGTCAAGTTAGTCAGTTTGTAAGTCTCCATTTCATAGACAGTTTCGTATGGGACTGAGGATAGGCTTCCCTTTCCCCAGTGGACGTTCCTACCCGGCCAAACAACAGCCTACGCAGCTGTGAGATGCTGCCATCACTTACCTGGACGTGATACGCTCTGGGGCAGCAGTGGCCAAGTTTTGATCTCTGTGTGTATTTCTTCTCATGGTTAGAGAAATCACAGCAAGATGATGGTGTGCTTTCTGTCACGCAGTTTCCAACATAAAAGAACATTTCTCGGCAAGGTTGACAATGAAAGGTTATAGTACTGATCGTCTCCACTTTGTTCTTCGGCAATTCCTAGGAAGGGGAAAAATTAATTGGAAGGGGAAAAATATATCTCCGAATATCTGTTTCTCATCTCCATTTTTTTTAAATTTTTGAACAAGACAAGACCTCTGGCGTGGTCGTGTCAGTGCTTCACAGTAACAGATGCAGTGGGAATTTCCTAAGATGACTGGAATTAGTTTTTTCCTCTTAACTTTGTGTTTGTATTTTAAAACTTATTTCCAAAACTCAGGAAAACAGAATTTTCAACTCTTGAAATCTACAAGGTAGTTTTCTTTTGATTGTTGTTGTTTTGTGTTTGTGTTTTGTGGGGAGAGAGATGTTTATTGAATACCAGGTATGTGGGGAAAAAGACAAACATCTGTCGCCAGTCTTTTTTTTTTGTTTGTTTTTATGTATAATATATATACATACATATATATGTGTGTATATATATATAAATTTGGTCGTACTGCAACTTGAGCTTGACACGCACATACCAGCTAAGTGTTTTGCCACTGGGTCACATCCCTGGCACCTTTGTGCACATGATAAAGAGCACCGGCCATGTGCTCACTGTGGCGGCACTTATTCCAAAACATACACCTCAGAAAGTGTAATCCGAGAAATAGCTGAGATTGGAAATATTTTTTGCTCATTGGTGATCCCTTAAAGTGTTAATTATTATTTTTTTATTCAATCACTATGAATTATAGTTACAAAGTTATTCAGTATTAAGTCTCAGGTTAACAATTTTCCATTTCCAACACCAGTCCCTTCTCCAGGTTCTTCGTCCCTCCTCCAGAGTCCCCAGTGTCCTTCCCACTTGTCAGTCTGCCTCTGTGGCAGGCACTTTCCCCTCCACCATTATTCTAGTGTTCCCTTCCCCAACTTACCCCCCTCACCCCTGCTCCACAGTAAGCTTCCTGCTGAAGACCACTTCTCCTGCTCTTTGTTTCTCTTGCCTTTGGGCATTTGTTACTCCTATGAAGTTTCTTTATATCCCACGTATGAGAGGCCATTCTGAGTTGTCCCTCTCCCTCTTACTAACATCACTCAACATGATACCACTCCGATCCATCCACTTAGCAAATTGCCTGATTCATCTTTTTCTGATGGTTGCGTAGTATTCCGTTGTGTTCTGTGTATGTGCCACAGCTTCTCTATCCAGTCATCTGTTCTTGGACACTTGGGTTGTTTTCAGATTTTGGCTATTATGAATAGTGCTACAGTGAACGCAGGGGTGCAGATGTCTGTCTTGCATTGTGCTTTGGACCCTTGGGATGTCTTCCAGGGAGTGGAATTGCTGAGTCATATAAACCTTCAATTGGTAGTCTTTTGAGGAATGTCTTTATTGTCTTCCCAAAAGTCTGGTCCTATGGACATTCCCACCAGCAGCGAATGAAGGCTGCGTTTCCCCACAACCTCTTCAATACTACATTTTTTGTTTGTTTGTTTGTTTGATGAGTGTCAGTCTTGCTGCTGTAGGTGTGATAGCTCATTGTTTTGATTTGCATTTCCCTGATGATTGATGATGTAGTGTATTTTTTAAAACATGCATTTTGGCCATATGTATTTCTTCTTTGAGGAACTTCTGTTTATTTCTTTTTCTCATTTTTTGATAGTATCGGATACATTTTTTCTTGTAGAATACTGCTAATGCTTTATATGTCCTGGATGTTAATCTTTTATCAGATGAGTGATGGGCAAATAATTTCTTAATCTGGGGGCCATTGTTCTGGTCATTGTTTCCTGTGAAGTGCAGAAGCTAATTTTAGGTACTAATTTTATATAGTACATTTGTTGCAAAAGCACAGTGGGTTGGGCGTTTGCCTTGCACGTGGCTATCCCTCTCGGAGAGCCCAACATTCTCCTGAGAGTATCCCGCCCGCACGGCATATCATATTCGATATGCCAAAAACAGTAATAACAAGTCTCACAATGGAGACCAGTGCTCACCCCAGCAAATCAATGAACAACAGGAGGACAGTGCTACAGTGCCACCATTTGTTTATATTTTGTTTCACTTGCTTGGTCAGTGGTATTTCCTCCTTTAAGTTGCCTCTGGCTTCAATGTCGTGGAGATTTTCTGTCTATGTTTCTTTTCTTTGTCTTATAGGGTCAAGTCTGATATCAAGATCTTTAACCCATTTTGATTTCATTCTTGTGCATGACATTCGGAAGAGGTCTGAGTTTATTTTTGTGCTCATGGTTGACCAGTTTTCTCAGCACCATTTTATCAAAGATTAACGGACCATATATATACTCAAGGGTCTGATTCTGAATTTTCAATCCTATCTCATTGATTTATGGGTCTGTCTATATTCCAGTACCATGCTGTTTTAATTGCTGCCGCTTTGTTGTGCATTTTGAAGTTTTACAATGCCTCCCACCTTCTTTTACCCCCAGGATTGCTTTGGCTCTTGGGCAGGGGTTAGAGAGAGAAAATAAAGTGTTAAATTTTAAGGCTGACTGTGAGTACTGCGAGGCGTGAACAGAGCTGTATTCCTGAGTCCAAGTTGATTACAGTAGTCCAAGTCTACTGTACTACCCAGTTGATTGATATTATCAGGAGTGTCCCCTGAGCATTGCTTGGGAGGCTTCTCCACCCCCAACCTCTCAATATGTACAATTACATTCTTACCTTCAAGGAAGGATTTTGTCATTGGGGTAGTGATGGTTTACACACTTTGGACAATAAAGAAAGAAGGAAAGAAAGAAAGAAAGGAAGGAAGGAAGGAAGGAAGACCCATAATCATGACTTATGGGTCTGCTATAGATTATAATTTCTGCAAGTCAACTGTTAGTTGAATGTGCACTTGGCAGACCTGTGTGAATCTTGTGGAAATGGTGGTGCTTGAACTCTTTCCATGGATTTAGATAAGGAGAGAAAAGATCCTTGAGAGCAATCATGGCCTCCTAAGCCAGACAACTTCGCTTCACTACCACTGCCATCATCTCCATAAGCATTTCTCAGGACTGAACTGTGTGCCAAGAGCCCTTGCAGTTTACCTTTGGAAATTCATATGCGTTTTATAATGACTTAAAAATGTAGGTATTGCTCTTCTCCATCTGGCAGGGGAGGAAACTGAGGCTGGGGTGCCTCAACTCACATAGTTTAGAGGAGACAGAACTAGGAATGGAGCCCAAAAACTTGAATCCAGAGCCATCTCTCTCAAATTCTATAGTACCTCTATAGGAGACAGCGAAGAGAAAGGCTCATGAGTAGCTAGAAAGAGATAATGAGATGGAATGGGGTGGGACTGGCTCTTCCCTCCCACAGCCCAAAGAGACCCCAGTCACTGCCCACAAATGGGCCCTCTGACTACTCAACAAACTGCTTCTGCCATGATCCCAGAGACTCAAAAACAAAACTTGGAACCCAGCGGCTTTTGGCAGAAATCCCTCCAGATCTAATTGTTAAGATTTCAGAAATCCAAAATCGTTGTTCATGATCAGCAGTAGAAAACAAATTGCCTAATGTTGCTTTTTCAGCAGATATGAGTGTTGGGGTAAAATTCCAAATAATAGTGGTGGGTCTGATGTCGAAATATTGAATGTAATCAAAGTAGAGAGAGAGAGAGTAATGTAGAAACCATCTGCCACACAGGTAGGGGGAGGATGTGGGCTGGGGGGTATAGTGGGGGGTTTTGGTGGTGGTAAATGTGCACTGGGAAGGGACGGGTGTTTCATCATTGTATTACCAAGACTTAAACCCAAAAGCTTTGTAACTGCTCTCACGATGAGTCAATAAATAACTTTAAAGAGAGAGAGAGACAGAGAGAGAGAGAGAGAGAGAGAGAGAGAGAGAGAGAGATAATGAGATATTAAACAAATACAAAGTTACTGCGTCATTTGATTTTGGGAGTTCTGTCCATTCAGCATAATGGTGACACAAACAACAGAAATTATTCATCTCAGGCAATTGCAGCAGAAATGAATATTGTAAATTGAATGGAGACAAAGGAAGATTTTTTTTCCAAAGGAAGACTTTTAATCAGATTTTGGAAAGGACAACACAGATCCAAGGATTGAGGAACTAAGATCTCAACAAAGGTTTCTCCAAGGCCTGAATATTAGAGAGGCTGCATTTTAGCCGCTCTCTGTGCGGAGTCCTCAGCATCCTTTGAAGATTCAGGTTTCAATGAATAGGCTAAGATTGGCCTCTCTTGGGTCTTATGCCCACTCTTTGCCCAGCAGGCTTTGCAATGCTTAAACCAAGGCTTACATACTGAAAAGCTTTCTATAATAATTTAACAAAGGTTCAAACAAAGGGATCAAACCTGGACTGGTCACATGCAAGGCAAGTGCCTTTCCCACTGTACTACCTGTTTGGCACTTGGTTTGCTTAATTTTAATCCTATCTTTAGGTTCTCATTTCTTCTATGAACTTTTTTTTAATGTATACTAAAGTTCTTATTGTGAAATATAGAAATTTAAGATTATGAAATTCTTTCTAAAATCTATTATAGCTTTGCCCCCAGATTTTTGTTTCCGTTGTGATTCAATTCTAAATCCTTCACAGTTGCTGTTTTTTTTTTTGTTTATTGTTTTATACTACATGATTTTTTTGGTTTTATTTATTTGTTTGGGCTGGAGCGATAGCACAGTGGTAGGGCATTTGCCTTGCACACAGCCAATATGCCCGACCCGAGTTCGATTCCTCCGCCCCTCTCGGAGAGCCCGGCAAGCTACTGAGAGTATCTTGCCCGCACGGCAGAGCCTGGCAAGTTACCCGTGATATATTCGATATGCCAAACACAGTAATAACAAAGTCTCCAATGGAGATGTTACTGGGCCTGCTCGAGCAAATCGATGAACAACAGGAGGACCGTGACCGTGATTTATTTGTTTGGTTTTTTAGAGCATTACAAAGCGGTTCATGATTGGATTTCAGTCATACAGTATTCCAACACCCGTTCCTTCACCAGTGTCCCCCCACGTTCCTTCCCATCACCCCAAACCCCTTGCCTGCCTCTTTTGGCGGGCATTTTCTCTCTCTCTCTCTCTCTCTCTCTCTCTCTCTCTCTCTCTCCGATTGTGGTTTGCAATATTGAACTGAAATGCTATCAGGAATATCCCTTACCTACTTTTAAGCCTCACATTCCCAGCTATTATTGTCATAGTGGTTTACTACATTATTCTTTTAGTTTATAAATGTACAGTGTCTTTTAAAAATATTTATTTATAGTTGATTATTGGATTGAGGTTGGAATGTATTTTGCATGGTATAATTTCCTTATTTGTGGGACTTCCTTTGTATGTGAGAAGTTTTTATAAATGTTGTTCCATACGCGCCAAAAGAATGTTTATTTTCTTATTGTTGCCTTTTGGCTTCTAATCATTATATAGTGTTCACATGTTATGTACCTTCAAATGTGCATTATTATAAACACTGTAGCACTGTAGCACTGTCCTCCCATTGTTCATCGATTTGCTCAAGCAGGCACCATTAACGTCTCCATTGTGAGACTTCTTGTTACTGTTTTTCGCATATCCAATAGGTCACGGGTAGCTAGCCAGGCTCTGCCGTGCAGGTGGCATACACTCAGTAGCTTGCTGGGATGTCCCAGAGGGGCGGAAGAATCAAACCTGGGTCAGCTGCATGCAAGGCAAACGCCCTACCCGCTGTGCTATTGCTCCAGCCCCACTGGTTATTTCTTTGGGAACTCATTCCCATCACTCTCTTCATCCACTCTTCACTTCACTGGCCTAAGTAGAATCTCTGTGAGAGAACAGAATGGGTCCTTTTGCATGTTCAATTATTGCATTTCCCTTATTTGCTGTAAACTCAGTGTTTTTGACAGTTTAACCACTAAGGGTGACGAATCTGAGTATTGTTCAAAAGACTTCTTTTTGACTCAGGCTAGTGCAAATGACAGAAAAGATATTTATGTGCTCAAGAGTATTGTTGGGAACATCTTAGCATATATATTAGTAGTGAGTTTTGCTTGTTTGGGTTTTGACACACCCAGCAGTGCTCAGGGGGACCATGCAGTGCTGGGGATGGAACCCAGGATCTTCCTCTGGTCTCCTCCCCCGATACAGACCATGCCCTGGCCCTTTTGACCCCCTCTCTGGCCTCTAGAGTGAATCTTTTTTTACAAGCCAAAAGAGATACGCATCTAAGCGCCTTTGATCTCCCATTGTCCAGGTCTCAATATCACAGTAGTTTTCAACTTTCAATCACCTGCGTGCTGATAATAAATTCAGATTTAAGACGTAGAAAAGACCAAATTTGCAGGCCAGAAAGATAGTCTAGGCATTAAAGAGTGAGCCTTGCATGTGGAGAAATCCGGTTCACTCCCTGGCACCATCTGGTTCCCTGAGCACTGAATGTGGGTGCCTACAGGCCCCAAAGCCTTGGTGCTCCTGGGCCAGCACCCCCACATTCTCGGGCTTCTTAGTAAACCACCAGCTCCCTTCGTTTCAGTTCACTGGGAGGGGCCTCCAGATTCCTGAGCACTGATTCACAGCTTCTCCCTGCACCTCCTCTTCCCCCCACACCAAAAGAATTAAAAGGCAGGTGTAGCGGAGAGTACAGAGGTTAAGGTGATGACTGGGAAGGGGTTGATGCTTATTTCACCCCTGGCCGCACACGATCATCATGGAGTGTAGTCCTGGGAGCCTCAGGCACCACTGGCGGAGCTGGGAAAATCATTAGCCCCCGAAAGACCTGAGCAGTGCCTCTTCCTTTGGCCCTTCCACTTAACATACTTTATAAATATAAAGGTGTTGTCGATCTCCAGTCATTTCTGTGTGCAAATTTATGCTTCCAAAAATCCAACTTAGAAATGAGTTTTCTGTTTTTTGGGGGGCCACATCCAGCGCTCAGGGTTTACTCTTGACTCTGTCCTCAGAAATCACTACTGGCAGGGCTCAGAGGACCTTCTGGGGTGCCAGAGATCAGACCTGGGTCAGTGATGTGCAAGGCAAGCACCTTATCCTCTGTGCCATCATGTCTGCCCCAGAAAATGATTTTTCAGTAAAATATAAATGAGTTCTAAGGCCACTAGTATGGCCACCGCAGCTATTTGGAGGGAACTGTTTGCTTGCAGGGTTGTTTTCCATCCTTTAACTTTGGGTCTGTGTTCACTCTGAAGGTTCAGATGAGTTTCTTGTAGGCAGCAGAATGTTGGGTTCAGTTTCCGAATCCATTTTGCCACTCTGTGTCTCTTGGTTGGTGCGCTTAGACCATTGATGTTGAGAGAGGTTATTGGTAGAGGGTTTTGTGCCATCTTTCTGTAGGGACTTGTGCTTGTAGGGGGTTTTCTTGTCGTATAGAAGCCCCCTTAGTCCTTCTTTTAAGTTGGTTTTGAGTCTGTGATGTTCCTGAGCTGTTGTTCATCCATGAAGTAGTGTATGTTTCCTTCTGAGTTTGAATTAGAGTGGAGCTGGATAGAGGATTCTTGGTGAGGCGTTCATTTCATTGGGTTTTTTCACTATATGCCCCAGATGTAGATGCGTGCGAATAGCCTGGCAGTTTGGGCGCTCTGGTGGTCAGTAGCTTGGGGGACATGGCACTTAGGGGGGTGTCTGGACTACCCCCCAGGGGCTTCAGTGGTGAGCTAGCGTGAGGGGCCGCCCCTGCTGCGTGGCCAGGGTTTCTCCTCACCTTCTCTTCCCCTAGACGGTCCTGGGGTTTGTGTGTCCGGCACTGGGGTTGGATTCCCTGGGCTGGCCACCCGCCTGGTAGGCATCAGCCAAGTCCCTGAAGGTGAGTGCTGGTGCCTCAGTCACTCTCTCCACTGAAGTGGCAGGAACCAGCCCTTGCTTCCCAGGTGCTAGCCTGGGAAAGTGGAGAGTGCCACCATGTGGTCGCAGAACGCTGTGTGAGTTGTCGTGGCACATGTTAAGGCCTGTCACCCTGTGCTCCCCCAGCTAGGACTGTTTGCTGGTCAGCCCCAACAACCACCCACTCGGGAGCACTTGGCGATGAGTCTTGTAGTTAGGGGAGTGGGTAAGTGGGTCCTGGGAGGCTACTGCCAGGGTGGGCACAGGAGCCATCGAATTTGTTTCTTCTTTCTGCAGGTGCCAGATCACTGAATTTTGACCATTTGGGACACTCCTGGATCCAAGGAACTGTGAACTCAGAGCAGCACACACACTTGTCCCATGCGTGGTAGGTGCACATTCCCTCCACATTCTCTTGACCGGACAGCAGAGATTTGGTTATTTCACAGCTGTGGATACGGACCCCAAGGAGAACCCATCAACTCTGTGCCACTTTTTTGAGTCTTATTCCTTTGAGCCTCCTGAAGGTGCCTCCCAGATCCCCCTCCTTGAGACTGGACTCCTCAGAGATGCCAGGAAGTCCTGAGGTGCCAGGACTGGTTTTCTCCTTCTGCAGCTGTGTGTACTGGGAGGAGCTCTCCAGAGGCTCCTCTAATGATGTGTGTCTTCACTTCCCTTTCTCGCCGACTGGAGACACCTGCCCTGTCCCTCTCTGGACTTGTGTGGTGCTGGGGATCAAACCCAGCCAGCGCGTGAGTCACTGGCGACAGGAGAGACAGTCATGGCAGGGAAGGGGCCGGGCCTGGCCTTCCGCAGCTCACATTGTACATGTAGGGCCCAAATGCTCAGGATCTCTTGAACAAAGAATGCTGGGCTCACCAGAGGCCCCCACGCCAAAGATCAGAGCTGGACCCCTTAAGACACATGCACAAGTGAGCTCAGAGTGTGAAGTGGCATGAAAAAACTGAGGTGACAGGACTGCAGCAACAGTATAATGAGTAGTAATGCCGCTTGCACTTGCCTTGTGTCCAACTGACCCGGGTTCAATCCCCAACACAACATAAGATGCCTCGCGTCCTGCCAAGAGTGATCCCTGAGCTCAGAGCCAGGAGTAAGCCCTGAACTCCATTGACTGTGGCCCAGATCCACGATAAATTCAGCTTTGAAAGTTCGTAAGAACAGAGTCAGTTTCGCAGTTGCTGAGGACAGTAGCACAGAGACCAAAACCAGGCTAGTTCAGGTGGTCATCCTCAAAACGTTGTCAGTTCCTGCGGTGCCATCAGGAAAGTAAAAACACGGCCCAAGGCATACAACGTTTGGCCAGAGCTGTAGCATAGCGGGTCGGTGTTGCCTTGCAGCACCCAACCAGGTTGGATCCTCAGCACCCCGCATCTTTGAGTAACTTCTGAGCATATCCAGATGTCGCAGGGGAAGAAAAGAAAATTTCTGTACATGCTCAGTACAGACACACCCATCATCATCACGGTGGCCTAGTGGTGTAGTGTTTCCCACTGGTCAGTGGTGTGCCTGGGGGCAGAGGGTCAACTGGAGCCACAGGAGTCCAAGCAGGTCTGGAGAAACGGCCCCTGTGCACAGCTGCCGGGGATGGGAAAGGGTGCAGAGTTCCTCAAAAAGATACAGAAGGCCGGGAGGAGGAGGAGCCACAGTGGGTCAGGAGCTTGCTTGGCATGCAGCTGACTCGGTTTTGATCTTCTTCCGCCTCTCCCCCTTCCTCGCATCCTTTATGGTCCCCTGAGCCCAGCAGGAGTAATTCCTGAGTGCAGAGGCAGCAGGATGGAACCCAAAACCCCAGAGTCAGCTGGCCACTGTTTTGCAGGGAACCTTGCTCCACAGCACCCCCTGCATGCCAGCTTTTTCCACTCCTGAGGGGCCCCTTAGGTTCCCCCACTAAAGTCCTAGGAAAGAAGAGGATGGCTTCAGTCCAGAGCAAGTACCAGGGATGCAAGGTCCGCTGGATCAGCTCTTGGTTCCATAATTGGAGCCATGGGACATTTGTATGAAATAGTCGTGTATGGTCTCAGCTAGCAGCACCATTCTCAGTGGAAAAAGAAATGTCCCATTCCCCAGAGAGGTAGACACCCTCAAACAGTCAGCTCAGACATGTCGGGTGTTCTAATGGTTACTGAACTTCTCTGCACTTCTCGGTGAACAGATACGTTAACTATCTAAGCACCTGCCCTCTCCAGGTGACTGTGTGGCGCTAGGCAAACTCTCAAGGACCGCAGGGGTACCTTAAGACTGACTCTTTCCAGAGAGAGAGTTCTGGGGCAAGAGGGGGGGAGCAACATTTTTCTTGAGTGACTCTTGGCCCAGGCAAACAGGGCCCATTCCTGTCATGGGAGAAAACTCTTTGCAAATGTGGAAGCAGCCGAATGGGGCAAGAGCAAAGGCCACAGATGAGGGCAGTTGAAAAGGAGCATGGGAAGGGCCACAGGAAGCCAGAGCAGAGAGCCACAAAGGAGACCCAGGGAGTGGACCCGGGGGCTCACAGAGCACTGGGTCAGGGTGGATGAAGCCAGAACCAGTGTCTTGTCTCCTCAGGGTGAGGTGGAAGCTGCACTGTGAGGGTCGACCACGCCGACCACTCTTTCCCTGCTTGACAGGCTGTCACCTGGAATGAGGCGGGGGTGGGGCGGGGGGAGGGAAGCCGACCTACTGTGGAGTTTTCCAGAACTGGTCTCTCTCCTCACTTGGGGATTCTCCACTTTGTCCTTTGCTTTCATTCTGTGTCACTTTCTTCCCTTGCCCTTAAGAAACCAAATGGAACCAGAGCCTCAGGACTAAAGGGTTTCCAAGGGCTGCTTCCTCGTTCCCATGCAATTCCAGGCCCCTAGTTCCTGACTGTCATTCGTAAAACCAAGGGGACCCCGATGACGTTTCTATATTTGGGGGCTTATTAAAGTGCTCCTTGTACGGAGAAAGTGATCACATTTTCCTGATCGAATTTGAGTGCCTACTGCAAGCGGAGCACTCAGGGTACTAGAAGGAAGATAAAACCTGTTGTCCGCAACATGTTCATCGTGAAGTGGAGACCGTGCGAACAGTTTCACAGGGAATGGGAGAGGCAATGGACGCTGTAGTTACTGGCCTGGAACAATATCAGCCTCCAGTAACTTATCCACAGCCAGTTGTGTTTTGTGGAGAGAGAAAGCTCGGGTGCAGCTTAATGATCTGGTATGGAGGCATAGAAAATAGGGGTGGGCGGAGGAAGCGTGTCAGAATGCCAGTGATTTCAGGCTGCTTGGAAGAATGGACTAGAGTTCAGATCATCTTTCAAAAGTCCTGGATAGAATCTATGTCTTTCTTTTGTTTCAGGGAGAGGTATTTGGGATGCCGATATGGAATAAAACATGTTTAAGGACAATCCAGGGCAATTTTCAGAAAAGGGACAGATGGAGGCATGTCCTGCACGTAACACCCATCAGTCCTGATAAAACTGGGGTGCGCCTTGAATCCCTCATGTTCCTACTTCGAGTTTTAACTACAGCAGTCATAAAACAAGAAATGATGATGTGGTAGTTTCTAGACTTGTAGATTTGCAGAACAGAAAAATACAACAATACAGTTAAGACTATGACCAAAGATTTTTCACTTTTAAAACAACTTTAAGACTGACGGTGATAAATAAAAATATCTTCCTTTTCATAAAACAATTATTTGTGTTGTAGAAAGGTCACACTTGATTAGTGGAACCAATTTTTTTCTTAGAAAAGGAGAACATTGGTTATATTATCCTTTATGTTTTTTGGGGGTAAACCTGGCAATGCCCAGGGGTTTCTCCTAGCTCTGCACTCAGGAATTACTCCTGGTGGTCCACAGTGGACCATATGGAATGCTAGGGATTGAACCTGGTCAGCTGTATGCAAGGCAAATACTCTACCTGTTGTCCTATATGTCTGACCCCTGAATATATTATTATTTTTTCGAGGACCAGGCTAAGTATCATAGAAGGGATTTGATGCTGTCCTGACTCTGCTGACCTGGGTTCAATTCCCAGCTCCATAAATGGTTCCTCACCTCCTGCCAGGAGTTCTCTGATGCCTGAGCATAAAGCCAGGAGTCAGCCTTGAGCATCACCGGGTGTGGCCCCAAAAGAAATGAACACAGTTCCATCTGACACTAACATTTGTTTTGTTTTGTTTTGAGTCACAGGGATTACTCCTGGCTCTGCACTCAGGAATTACCCCTGGTGGTGCTCGGGGAACCCTATGGGGTGCCGGGAATGTAACGCGGGTTGGCCACGTGCAAGGCAAACGCCCTGTCCACTGTATTATTGCTCTAGCCCCTGACACTAACATTTTAGAATTACAGATGGGTAGGACCTGCTTGCCTCCCAGGCCTTTGCTCCACCAAATAGCAACAGGGAAGCTAAGAATAGTCTCTCGGCCACCACGAGCTCCCATGTGGTAGCCACTACTTGAATCAACTCGATTCCCCAGTTTCTGCCCTGATCTCAGCTCCGACATCATCCTGGCCCCACAAACTCACCTTCACAGTAGTCTAGTATCCTGTGGGTTCGGGATTGAGGTGGGAGGAAGGAAATTGTTTTTTACGGATTCAGGCGGGATTGCAATGACAAACACTTTTATGACCTGCCTCTTCCAAGGTAGTTTGCCCCCACACAGTCAGCGCTCCTCATTTTCCAGTTCACTAGGTGGTGCTCTCTGTCTGCTACCCAAAGGTCCCTGATGAACAAGAACCCGCTGCTTTCTCCAGGTCCTTGCCCAGTGTCCTTAAATTAGCTCTCTGTCTCTAATCCCAGCGACCAATGGCTCCAAGATGAGATACAACAATTTTCATAGACTTTCCTCTACGGAAACCTTTTTGGATCATTCTTAGTCAGTTATTTATAGCAAGCAATACAAAATAAATGTTTTAAAATTTTTTATTAGTGAAACACCATGAGGTACAGTTGTAGACTTAGAAATTTTTGTGCTTGAGTTTCAGTTATACAGTGATCGAGTACCCATCCCTCCACCCGTGCCCACTTTCCACCACCACTGATGCCACTATACCTCCCACCCCCCATCCCCTTGCATCCCACACTGCCTCTGTGGCAGGGCATTCCCTTTTGTTCTCTCTCTCCTTTTGGGTTTTGTGGTTTGCAAAACAGGCATTGAGTGGCAAACATGTTCGGTCTGTAGTCTACTTTCAGCATGCATGTCCCATCCTGGGAGGATCCTCTCAATACCCTTTCTTTGGTGCTCCCTTCTCTATCTGAGCTGCCATTTCCCCTAGCATGTGCGGCTGGCCTCCATGCCATGGAGTAAACCTCCTGGTACTTATCTCGGCTCTTCTTGGGTGTTAGTCTCCTATTTTGTTACTTTATGTTCCCCAGATGAATGCCTATTTTGGGGAAATCTCGGGCAGTGGTGGGAAAACTCAAAATAAAGGTGGTGGAAAGGGGTCATGGTGGTGGAATTGGAGTTGAAATATTAGGTAAAGGTAAAGGCCCTCCCGTTGTTCGTTGATTTGCTCGAGCGGGCCCAGTAACGTCTCCATTGGAGACTTTGTTGTTACTGCATTTGGCATATTATATACGTCACGGGGAGCTTGCTAGGCTCTGCCGTGCGGGCGAGATACTCTCAGTGGGATACTGGGCTGGAGTGATAGCACAGAGGAGTTGAAATATTGAGTGTAATTAAATACTGTGAAAAACTCTTTGAGAAAAAGAAAGAAACAAAACTTGCACTGTGCACTCTTCAATAGAGACTTGTGCTTCTGGGACCCAGTGGGGGTCGATGGTAGGGACTTAGCGC